TTTAGCCTGTCCCCCAGCAGGAGTCTTACCGCTCTGATCTTCCTGTGTTGAGGCATTGGAACCTCTCTTGCCTGTCCCGTTGGCTACCTTGTCCTTAGATTCATGGTTGACTTTGTATTTATCAGCACTGCTCGTCTTTCCTCTCCAGGGAGCATGGTGGTGATGATGGGAGTTCCCAGTATCGCTGTGAGGGCTGCTGTCCCCTTTGCCGTGGGGCTTCTTCTGAGCGTTACCCATGTCTGGGCTTTCAGCCGGAGCGGCTGAACTCACCTCCCCTCCTTGAGGCTGTATACGTTCAACCGGACAAGCTGCAACAGAGAGGGAGGGGCCAGAGAGTGAGGGACGAATGCTGACACTCCCACAGGAAGTTGGCATTTCAATATAACAAGAAAATAGAAACACTTAGCAAATGAAATTAGCTTACACTAAATGCCCATTCACTATTAAATTGTTGTTTATATAATTGCATGATTTCTAAACATTACATGCAGATCAAATTGGCTCATAGTTTTAATGGTTGACTTGATAAAAACAATTTTATTAAAAACTTTGCGTCCTTAATAATAAATAAAGCATTTTGTATAAATACTGTAAAGTGAACACAATCTGATCAAAACACATCCAGTCCTTGACTTTAGTAAAAACCCTGAGATAATATTACACATTTAGTTAATTACTTAATTAATGTATTTGAAGTAGTCTGATGTATATTTCCTTTCAATTATTTTGAATGTTTTAGGTAAAGATACTATCCTGTTACATAGCGGAAGTAGTAGCTGTTACATCACAGTGGGGGAGGGACTCAAACCACATTAGAGCAGGGAGTACCAGGAAGCTCCTGGCTCTCAGGGTTTTACACTACACTGTGTGGGGGCAGGGCTCACAGCTCACACACGCACCCTCTCTGAGTCATAGTCACGTTACCACAGTCCAAAAAGGGGAGTCTCATCTATCTATAGCAACACGGCTTGAAGATTTGTGGGAAAATGACTGTCTGTCCTGCTATTCGTGGCTTACTCTGATGTTTGGCAAAGCCATGAGTGGATTAGAGGGTAAATCCTAGACTAGGCAGCTATAGTAGGGTCTAAATTAAAGTAAAGAGAGCACACTTTAGTTAAAATGATAAGTGCATACCTAAAAGGTATTTTGAAGTCTTTGCATTAGACAGAAAGAAATTTTACATTTAATTTTACATTTAATGATTTGGTTCTTTTAAAGTGATACATTATGAGGATAAGAATCAGTATGGTTTTTAGTCTTCCACGGTGGTAGGTCTCTCTCACCCTCATTCAGCTCGGGTCCTCTACCAGAGGCCTGGGAGCTTGAGAGTTCTGCGCAGTATCTTTGCTGTTCCCAGTACTGCACTTTTCTGGACTGAGATGTCCATTGTTTTCCCGGTATCTGTTGTAGCCACTCTTCCAGTTTGGGGGTTACAGCCCCGAGTGCTCCGATCACCACAGGCAACACTGATGCCTTTACTTTCCAGGCTCTCTCCAGCTCCTCCTTGAGCCCCTGGTATTTTTCTAGTTTCTCATGTTCCTTTTTCCTGATATTACCATCGCTTGGTATTGCGATGTCCACCACCACGGCTCTGCTCTGTTTCTTATCCACCACCACTATGTCTGGTTGGTTCGCCATCACCATTCTGTCAGTCTGTATCTGGAAGTCCCACAGGATCTTTGCTCGGTCATTCTCCACAACGTTTGGAGGTGTTTCCCACCTTGATCCTGGGGTCTCCAGCCCGTACTCTGCACAGATGTTTCTGTACACTATGCCCGCCACTTGGTTATGTCGCTCCATGTATGCTTTCCCTGCCAGCATCTTACACCCTGCAGTTATGTGCTGGACTGTCTCAGGAGCCTCTTTGCACAGTCTACACCGTGGGTCTTGTCTGGTGTGGTAGATCTGGGCCTCTATTGCTCGAGTGCCCAGGGCCTGCTCCTGAGCAGCCAGGATCAGTGCCTCTGTGCTGTCCTTCAGACCAGCCCTCTCAAGCCATTGGTAGGATTTCTTGATATCAGCCACTTGAGTTATGTTCCGGTGGTTCGCCCCATGTAGGGGTTTGTCCTGCCATAATGGTCCCCCCAGCACCTCTTCCTCTGGACCCCACTGTCTGAGACATTCTCTGAGCACCTCATCTGTCGGGGCCTTGTCCTTGATGCACTCAAGGAGCTTGGATGTTTCATCCTGGACAGTGCTTCCCACACTCACTAGTCCTCGGCCTCCTTCCTTCCGGCCTGCGTACAGTCTCAGGGTGCTGGATTTGGGACGGAGCTTTCGTGTCTTAACATCTGTGGTCTGTATCTCCTCCTTTGGCCAGCTTACAATTCCTGCAGGGTATCTGATCACTGTCAGGGCGTAGCTGTTGATTGCCTGCACCTTGTTCTTGCCATTGAGCTGGCTTCTTAGGACTTGCCTCACTCTTTGCAGGTATTTGGCCGTAGCCACTTTCCTTGTTGCCTCTTCAAGGTTGCCATTTGCTTGTGGGATACCAAGGTACTTGTAACTAACTATATATATATATATATATATATATATATATATATATATATATATATAATATATATATATATATATATATATATATAATATTATTGTATATTGTAATAAGGGTGTGAGTTTGTATGGTTAAAAGTTGGACAGTTGCAATTGCAATTAATAGACTGAACAAAAATAGTGTATCTTTTGAACTAGTTTAAAACATGACATAAAAAGTTATGTCACAAATTACTGATTATGCATAAGACCAAAAAGTCTCACCCTGCAGTCCTGCTTCAGTCTCATCATTGTGACTGTCATCCTCATCCACTTCTTGGACCAGAATTTTCTTCCCTTTGCGTTTCTTCTCTGTCATTCGCTCCTCCTGCATCTTCAGTTCAGTTTCAGACAGAAGTTTCTAAAACATAAAATAATTAAAGATTTATAAAGCCACTGCTTTGAAGTCAAATTACAGACTCTTATCTTGCCTTGCAAAAACTGGAGGAACAGACACTATTTATATGAAACATAACAAAATACCAAAAGAAACGTTTTTTTTTTCCGTTTTCCATGGTCATGTGTATTTTTCTCTCAGAGATGCAGTGACATCTAGTGGATGGAAAAGGTTATTGTTACAACAGTACCAACCAGAGCTGCAGGATTCTGGGGCTCCTGCTTGAGCACTGTCCTCAGATCTTCAGCTGCAGTTTCAAACCTCCCTGTGTTTGTGTACACGCTAGCTCGACGTAGTAACGCTGTGGAGGAAATGGCATTTACATAACTGAATGAAGTTTGTAATATTTTGACTTAACATCAAATAAGTTGCCAATAATCAGCTAATTGCAAAAGACAGACCCTAAATAATAATTTATATGATGTTGGCCGATGTATGTGGTAACACACATTTAAGTCAGATTAATCAGAGATTTAAAAAAAAAAAATGTAAGCAAATAGTTACCTTTAATATTTCCCGGCTCCATCTGGAGGACTTTTTGACAGTCTTTCATGGCAATGTTCCAGCGCTTCAGTTTGATTTCTGCTTGGGCTCTGTTATTATGAGCTATAACTGTTGGCAAAATGGAAATGCTCCTGTTGTGAATAAAAACAATCATACATTAATAGTAGAGCAAAAGAAAACTAGTTAAAGCTGAAGGGAGAGGAAATGTAATGCAGTTTGGAGTTATGGTTATTAATATAAAAAAATACAGTATTTTTTGCTTATTGATGCCAACATTATATGTATGATATAATATGCATTTTTGGTTAGAGTGGGCACATTTCTAATTAACACTATGCAAATATAAATAAATAGAAAATAAAAAAATAGACCTGGAATAGTATGCAATAGCTTCCTCATAATCCTTGGCTCTAAAAGCTTCATTGCCTTTGTCCTTCTCACGTGTGGCTAGGATGAGCTGCTCCTGTTCGGTCAATACTGCAATCAGAAGATTTAAATATTCATATTTATTTAGATATCTAAGTATATGTTTAAATTGTCATAGAAACAGGAAATGCATACATGAGGCATCCAAGTTAGTTTTGAGTTTGGACAGTCCTGTGTTAACAGCAGCAGGTGGGTCATTTGTGGTATTATTGTTACTGTCAATTTGTTCACATTCTTTCTCTACATCAAACCTAATTCAGGGGAAATAAAATAAATTATAGACAACATAATTACATTTATTAATGGTGGAATTTGCACGAGTAGATAGTTGAGCAAAATAAAGTTAGAACTCACTTGTCCCATTCTCGATAGTCACGTGGGAGAGGACGTTTAGAGAGATTTTTGTTTTGTTTTTGTCGGATACCCTGACACAAAAGTAATGGGGGAATTAATCAATTGTCATTGATAAAAGACAGGATAATGGTCACATTTATACCTTATTGAGTGGAACTGACTGATTAGAACCTCTTATAGGTGGTATGTTTTCTTTTGTTATATCAGTAAAAAGGGGTTGTTGTTTTAATGAATCTTCAATCTTTTTGGATTCTTCTTGCCACATCTGAAAGTATAACAGGCAAGGACAAGATAGTTACATACAATTAAATAAGAATTTAATGTTATATTTAATAAACCAACCTTGAAATCATTAACAATTTGTCCCCATTCATCTTTGGACAGGCTGGCTGCTGTAGCGGCTTGTTTGTCTGTTCTGAGAAGTCTGTTCTTTGGGTCAAGCAGTTCAAGACGGGTCTCACAGAAACTGATGAGATTAGGATAAATGCCCTCCTCTCCAGACCTTAGCAATAATATATCATAGCAATAATATTATATAATTTGGATAAAGAATCAAACATCTAATTTTGTCCAAGCATATCAGACTCACACACACCTCAATACTTTTAAAATCTTTTCCAAATACGTCACATCTTTGCATTGATCTATGTAACCATAGTCCAGGTGCTCCACAGGAACCTTGCCACTGTAGTCAATGACAGTGCCTTGGTTTTGTAGCGAGAAAAGTTCCTTTGCAGTCATATCTTGTAGGAGAATTAGCGTTAGTAATGAATGAGACACAAACCAAAGTTAATCCAAAATTGTTAACATAACCTCATAAAAAGAAAACGGCATTATCAAACACAAATTAAACACAACACAACACCGAAAATACTGTATATACATCCAGATAACTTTACATTTATTGCCAGTAAAGTCCTTGACACGTGGAAATTTGCTAGTTGTTCTATGTTAAAGCTACGTAATAGTCTATTTTATACTGAATGATTGACATAAAACCAAGCAAATTGTTGAATATCACGACTACTTCTAAAAGAAATCAAACTATGTTACCTGATGCTGTCCCGTGGCTAAGGACCGTATGTTTTATGGTTGCTATGGTAACGTACACGAAGTATCGCGGCCTCAGAACGGAAACACGTCAGACGTACAGCAGCGGGCTCCAAATTTGAAAACGTGCCTCGCTCCTGCGCTCTTTTCCTCAGGAACATGAAGGACACGGGGATGACTGAGGGCTGATTTGTTTGGCCTGCATTTTTAACAGAACGGACACTGCAGACGGCTTGACAGAATTAATATTGACATTGAGGTGAGCGAAACATTTTAGCGGTGTCTGTTTTCAGTAGTGACGCTTTAACTAAACTGACTGAATGCCTAAGCATCACCTGCGGCTTGCAAGCTATAAAGCAACAACCAATCTAGCACTAAATCAGCAAACGTATTTTATTTTATTTATTTTATTTTAGGTTAATTTTAATCACATATTAATGTTTCTATAGCTTAGCTTAGCTTGATCAAATAATTACTCTTTAGCTAAAGTTTAAGATACTCTATTGTAATACATGTTCTACCCATCACATAAGCTAAACGTGTTTGTTGTGATGTGTCCAAAGCGAAATTGTCTCACATCTTAATGCTGCTATAAGCAAACATAATTGAGCAAAAACAGAGACTACAGATTATCAGTGTACGTCTGTTTTTGGCGGTTTCTCGTGTGTTTGTAGCGGCACCGCGGCGTTTGGAGAGCAGGGGGATTTAAAGCGTCGCCTGGCAACCCTAATGAAACAGCTGAGAGAGTTTAGTGGCACCAGTTGAGCTAATTGTCAGTTTGGTGCAAATGAACATGGTGCACTGTAAAAAGCACAAATGTGATATTAGACTGTGCAAGTAGAAAAGAATGAGATACTCCTAGAGTTTGTCACTAAGCTAACTAACTGTGTCAAAGCAACCAAACTCTGTAAGAATATCATAATTGTATTTATTAATTAATGTCCACAATACTTGAACAACTAAAGCTACTATTATGCATTTCATTATTAGCTTAATCTGAGTTAATTTAACTCTGGATAGTTGTTTTCTCAATAACATCTAGTCATGGTAATTGTGTGTGTTTAGTAATTTAAACCTTTTTTTCCCCCCAGGTCTACTGAGTCATTCTTGACTCAGTGTTTGCATTTGTAAAGGTCTGCAAACAAGAGGAAATGCAGTGTACTCCAGAACCCAATGTTTTCTTTAATAGTGACAAACAGCGGGCCTGTTATGATGACTGCTTTGACAGTGGGTACTCTGGTTTATTCTACACTCCGCAGAGTATCACCAGAGATGGGTCTTCGTCTTTGGGTGAGTCAGATGAAACCCCTAAAGAGAACCTGCGACTCTCTGCCACACCCAAGGACAGAACCCGGTTTTGGAGTAAAGACAGGGCTGCATGCTGGCCCTCAACTGGTTGGTGTGAAACACCCAAACTATACAAAAGGGATGCCTCGTTGCAGTACAGGCTTGCTGTATGCAAATCCATTTTAGATGTAAAAGCTAATGCCACAAAATCCCCAAGCAAAAACCTCAGAAAAAGTGGATCAGGGCAGTGGCTGAGCACTTCTCTGGACTCTTTGGACACTGTAATTGACACTTTATCCACAAGCACTTTACCTTTGGACGATGACCTACCACTGTCAGGAAGGAAGCGCCGCCTCTTGTATTCACAGGTGCGCACCTCCACTCTGGAAGATGGCCAAGCCACGTCTGAACAGCTCTCCAGCTTTGACCGAAGAGTTTCACTCTCAGATGCTGATTTTAAGGAGAGCTGTTCTTCCTCAGACAGTCAAACCCCACGCACAAACAAATTCTTTCCTGTTCTATTCAAGAAAAGTATTCAGTCTCCAACCTGCAATGATCTCAGTGATAGCAGTGTGTGGTATACACCGTCAAGCCTGCACACTCCCAAATACACCAGGTACGGTTTTGTTTTTGACATTTATGTTTTGGCATGTTTGATCATTTACATAGTCTTTAAATGTATTCCTCTCCACAGATCCGTGTGTGAGGACAGTGGCTTCAGCTCCCTCACTTTGGATAAGTCTGAGGACTCATCTGTGGATCATGATGGATCATTTCAGGAGCTTCTCTCTGCCACTAAAGGAAACAGTGTAACCCCAAATCTGCTGGAAACAAAGCGCCGCCCGCGGTTACAGCGTCAGAATAGGCTGTCCACTTTGAAGGAAGGGGGCTCTCAGTCTGAGGATGACCCCACAGAGAGGATTAAGAAGGGGAAACAGCCTCTAAAGGAGGATGAGGTCTTCACTGCTGCCACTCCACAAAGAGTCCCTTCCCTTAAACCAAAAGAGACCCCAAGCTCTGAGAGTGTGGCCGCTACTAAACAGGACTATAGAACTCCTTTGAGGACCTCTGCCAAACGAGAAGGCAAAACACCTTTTAGCTCAGATTCAACTCCTTCAAGGAACACTCCTCTTAATCTGTCCCTGACTCCAGCCCTACAGCTGGTCCATGCCATGTGCCAGCAAAAAGCTCAAACCTTTAATGGCCAAAGCCCGAGTCTAAAGGATGAACTGAGATCTACAGCAGCCCTGATACACACTCCAGTCACATTTAGGACCACTATGCCCCTGGCTGGGCTCATAGGCAGGAAGATGGGCATGGGCACAGTGGATATTCTTACAGAGCTGAACAAGAGGAACCTGAAGCACATCCTGTCCCTCATACTGGGACAGTTGACTCCTAAGTGCATCTACAGGTGGGACCTACCATCTGTGTTTATTTGGTATAAGCGTGACAAGTGATTCATACTAAATATGTGTTTTGTATAACCTGTAGGTGTGGGCAAGTGTGCAAGAGCTGGAAGGGGATCATTCAGCAGGACAGACGAGCAAGTTTCAAACGTAGGAGTCATCTGAGTGAGCTCAGCTCCTCTCTAGAGGTAAGGCCTGGCTTTGGATAAATGTTACACATGTGCAATAGTCAAAACCTAAAGCTAGCTTTAGCATTTAGCATTTTAAAATTAGTTTAACCATAGGCAGTCTCAATAGTCACCACAAGTAGGCTACTACACAGGTAGATATCCTAAATTTCTGCTTGTGTCTTATAGCAGGGGGAGGTATCCCATGTCCCAGAGGCAGACACCAGGACAGCTCTGCTCAAACGCTCAGCTCTGAAGACGGTCCAGTCCCAGTCCAGGAGCCAGAGCTTCTGCACCCCTCAGTCTGGCAGCCGGAGTACCACCCCTCTACGCGACAGCTCTTTCACCTCGGCCAGCAGCAGCAAACAAGACAAATTCATAGAGGTAAAGCTCTTTCTTTTTATTGATTTGTTTTTCTTTACTAAAATTACTTGAATAAACTTAAAGGGGCTTATGTTATGATCCCTACTGGCATCCTAGGTTCAGCTGTGAGTGTATTAATGTATTTAAACCAGGACGACATGTTTTTACGTTTTAATGTTTTATTATTTCATAATAAGACTTTGGGCTTACTAAAGCACTTTAGATGTTAGATTTTGTTTAGGTGGGGAATATTAGTAGTTTCCTCACAAGAGTCAGGTTTCAGATTTATTTCATGGTACATCAAGCTGCCCTTTTCTGAAACTTTGTATATTTTAGGTGGCCAAAACACTCTTTAATGATGAATGCCTGAAGGCCTGTCCTAGATGTCAGCATCCTGCCCGCTGTCACTCTGTGAAAGGGGAAGGCATGTGCAGCAGAGCAGACTGTGGCTTCCAGTTTTGTACTTCGTGCCTGTGTGAGTTCCACGGCTCAAGAGAGTGTGGCAGTCAGTCTGTGAACCGCCGCAAGAAGGACCTGCTCATCCCAGGCAGCGCTCAGAGCAAACGCAATGTCAGACGCCTATGACCAAACATGCACTTTACCCACTACTGTGACGTGGGTGTGAAATGTCTTACTGGGGGTTTGTGATTACATTCACATCCACAGCTGTATTGACCTGTTGTTACATCCTATTATAATCTTTTATTTTTTTTAAAAACATTACATTGTGTTTTTTAATTATGATTGTGAAGGAGTTTACCAGCACATGCACTGATCTTTTTACTGTATGTTTTACGTTTGATAAAATGCGTTTTTTTCCCCAATTTTTGAATGAATTTTCACTTTTAAATGTTTTTTCTGACACTTTTGAATAAAATGTTAGTTTTTTTTTACAAAATATACACGTTTCAGCCTTTCTTTTTCTTATGTATCATGTATGTATTGGAACTACAGTAATTACTGTAGCACCTACATCTTAACGTGTCACATGAAAACACGTGTGGAATGCGGGTCAGAGTGCCACTTACCTGTTAAGTGCGTTTCCATCTGACTTGTGTTTGGTTACCGCCTTCATTCTGGCTTTTGTTGGTATTTGGCGCCATCTGATGGTGTAGAACTAGAACAAATTATTGACTTAAATTGTATTGTCTTGCAGTTGTTTCGTTTTGTATGAATTTTGTATTGTATAGAATATATTTCTTCTTAGTCTACAATTATTGACAAAGTCACTTTTAAATTAATAGTCTCCAAAAGGAAAGTTGCCTCAAATGCCTCATCTGAGTAGTTTCTAGTTAAAGTTTTACTGCCCCCCTGTGTTTTGAGAAGGACTCCACTTCCATAGCAACTGCAGTGTGTCTGTAATTACAGCACCTCTCACTCTCCAAGTGTGTCCTCAGAGCTTACCTGGACGTGCCAGACAAGAAATTATATGAGTCATTTTTGTACCCCGAGCTATGTGTGGTGTCCTCTCTACAGGTAAGGCCTGATCTTTTGTCTTTACTGGCTTTACGGATGACAATTTAATTAATACATTTTTGTTTTTCTTGTAGAGTGCCCTTGTGTGACTGCAGCAAGTTTTGTGAGTACATACATTTTAAAGAAATAGTAAATAGTGCATGTCAATTGTTACAATTCACACTGTTGTATAGACCATGTTTTCACTATTACATGAGGCCTAGGGCACTTTTATTTGCTGCAAATGCCTCCTTTGCCGTTCTACTGAATGTCCTGATTCTCAACTGGTGCACAGGACACACATGTGGGTCACAGAGGGATTCACACTTGGAAAAAGTGTATGTCTAAACAGAGCATTTCTGTTTCTCTCAATTCACCTTTTTGGGATCAATATTATGTATATAAGTTTGTTAATAAGAAACACTGTTATAGAGACAAAAAAAAAGATTTACAGAAGGAAAAGGTTAGAAAGGGAAATTAATGGTGTCCTTGCTACTATCTGAAACCGATCTCAAAATAATGTAACATTAAAATATCTAGATTTATTTATTTTATTTATTTATTTATTTATTTATTTATTTGAGACAGGGACAGCGCACAATTTTCGCATTAACCTTGACAGGAGAGATGCATTGTACATCAGGTTGTAGCATCAGTGCTAATTTCCACCTGTAGTCCCTGGGCAGGTTCATTGATTGATTGTATTTAACTGACCTTGACTATCAACTGTTCTGGAGACCTGGAGCATGTTTTGGGTTGTTTAAATTGGATTTCAAGTATATAAGCTGAAGAACACCTGCAGGGTTTGTGTAGAAAATTGTAATAGTCTATTGTATCTTCTCTTCTCCAGGAAAACACACTTTCCTCAGACACTGTCTTTGTTTGCTTCTTCAATGATTTTCTGTGTCTGCCGGTAATACAAACAACAAAAGTTTACAGCATTCCTGTAGGTCTGTGTACAAACGTTTTCTTTGTGTCTCCAGTGTTTCCCAGAGTCCCTGCGGTTTAACCAGGACACTGGGCTGTTTGAGGTGGACAGTGGACAGGCTCAGTCTGTGTATCAAAACATTCGACTGGGTCTTCTGCAGCTTCTGAGCACCAGTGACCCCAATGAGCTCGCCCACACTCCTCTCATAGACAATGGATACACAGTCTGTGTAAGTAGAGTACATGTGTGATGAATACTGTATACCAATAGTCTAAATTAATCCTGTGCTTTTAGTGTTTGGACCCAAAACAAGGCAGTGAGTGGGTCATGAGAGAGAGGCTGCCCTTCTTCCTCAAAAGTGATTTCTACTTTGAATACAGGTACCTTTATATTATTGGTGCAACACTAGAATATACCACAAAATATGTCTTCATGTACTTTTTTGAGAATTAAAACTTTTAGACAGAAGTAATTCTACAAATTACTCACAATTTCAGTTCAATTGTGAGTTATACACTTCTGTATATATGAATAAATCTTTGTTGATCTGAGTTTAATCAAATATTAACCAGGCTATAAAATGTTGATCTGCTGATGTCTGTAATCTAGACGGATGGGTAGTTTTCCTGTCTCTGTGTTAATTGTAATTAGAGTGCTCCTGTCAGCCTGTTGTGTAATGCACCATAAACACAGTTGCCACACTTCAGATCGGATCAGATGACTGAAACAGAGCCTGACAACCTATAAATGACAACCATTATAGTGGCCAGTTTACTGCATTCTATATGTATACATATGTGATACTGATTCATTGTCAGTAAAACATAATATATTAAAACTGTTTGTTTTACAGGTTTGCTGATTTGTTACTACAGTGGGAGCCGAAATGTGGAGTTCAAAGAAGGGCCATCAGATCTGCACAAAGTGAAAGAACAAATGGTATGTGTTATCAGAGTATTCATCATCTATTAATGTAGGAAAATTATCAACTTTATCTGAACAATATTTGACTGTCTTTGTGACACCCACTTGACTGATCAGCTTGCAGTTACCTCACAAAAAATAAAAAACATATGAATAATCTTATTTCATAAATTTCACAATAAAAAAAAACAAACTTCACACTGCTAAATGTATTGATTTATTAATTGGACTGTCATATTTAAATTTAACCTTGTTAATTTCCAGGCCATGCAAAATCTAGTGATAAAATCCGGCGTTCTGCTAGCTGCTTTGAGTTGGACCATCCTCACCCCATCTCTCCTTTATCACAAGAGCCTAGCTACAACCTCACAGAACCTTTAGCCATCTCTTGTGAAGAATCCCGCTCCAACGATTCCACTAAATTTGAGCTGGAGTGCCTGGCTGCCACACTGGTTAAACAGGTGCTCAATGCGGCCATAAGAATGATGAGTGGACACAACCAGGCAAATACTTCTACATGTTGCAATAAGTCAGAGAAACAGCAGATAGATGACTGTATTGCTATAGACTGTTCCACTGAGAGTAAAGTTCAACTGAGGTCACCTGCCAAAGACCATGGTCCACAGGAGAGGGATGACCACAGCAGAAAGGACTTTAATGAAATGGGAGCCAGGCAGGACCAGTGGAATAATGGGCAAGATGTTGGTAGTCGTGGTAACTGTGGGAAAAGATGGAGTCTTTTTAAGGAGTTTTTAAAAGGGACACCAGGAGAGGGACTACTGCACCTGTGGATGGATATAGAGAGGATGAAAGTGACAGAGGTGTTGGAACGCAAGAAGAGGTGAATATATTGTCACTTATTTTGTTGCAAATATAGTAGTTAGTATATTATGACAAAAAGAGATAAAATTACAGTGCCAGGTTTACTGTGGGATGGTGTGAGAGTTGTGTGCAAATAAACAAAAAAATCTGTATCACTTTATTTGCCTCTGAGGGGCAATTTAAGCATATTGAGCAGTAAAATACAACAATACAATACAATACAGTAATAGAAAACCTCTAACAAAAGTCTCAATAGGCAGGGTTATCAGATCCTGTGTCAGAGCAGTTTGAAAAAAGAAAGATTTGATACGGTATATCATGGATTAACACTGTTTGTACAGTGCGCCTAAAGACACTACTTTCTCCACCTATTGGGTACCCCCAACATGCTCTGAGTGAGCCACAGGTGAATTTAACATTGAGAGTGAGGTGTGAATAGAAGAATATAATAGAAGAAGATTGTTTGTTACTCTAGGGCAATTTTAAAGTTACAATCTCAATCTTGAAATGATAATCCAGACTTTAATTATTTCAATTTATTTTATTTAGATTTAATCCACCACACAGCATGTATTTAACCTCATAGTGATGCATTTATCTTTACTACAAGATAAAGCAACATTCAGTCCATTTAAGAAATAAACAATAAAGGAATGCTATTGTATAGTAATATTAAAAGGGTGTCTGGTTTGCTTCAGATTTTTGGACCTGATGAGAAGCAGGTACCTCATGAGCAGCAGTCAGACCTGTTTGAATGCGGAACTGCTCTCTAGACTGGGCCTCAGTACCTCCACCTGCTGGACACAGGAGAAATTGCAGACAGTCCAGCCGCAAATCACTCACTCGCTGCTCTTCTACTGGTGAGCGAAACTACTCATATTTTATGTCTGAAAATACTGGTCATTTACATATTTCTCTTATCATCAGGGCTGCACGATTCTGGACGTCCCATAGAGCTTATGAGGACCCGGAGGAAACTCCAAATGCAACAATATGGACATATTTTAGTTCTACATCTACCATTCAGACAAGTCTGTACCGACATGAAACTGATGCTCTATACAGTCCTAACCCCCACCTGCCCCCTTCCCCTCGCACGGATTATGAGGTAGGCAACATTTTATCAAGATGTGTTTCCTGTATTCAACTCTGAAAATGTGTGTGTAGTCTCTGTTTTAGAAGTACTGTTTTACCATATTGTTTTTGACTTTCTCTTATAGAAATGCATTAGATCATGTTATAGTTTGGGGTTTCAAACCTGATAAAATACAGGTGCCAAATGCATACAATTTTATAATATAATAATTTGGATACTACTACACACTGACCACTATGCAATAAAAGGAGAAACTAAATTAGAACAATATGTATATCTGCTTTCTATATTCGTTGATAGTAATAATCAAACGGCTTGTAAGGCTTTGCAAGTGTTGAGACAAACCACATGCTCCAATCATTTGCTTCTACTCTGTGTTTCATCAGTTTTGTCCCAGCAGAGGACCCTTACTGGCCACTGGACAAATGGAGAGGATGATCCAAGCTCTTTGTGTTGAAAATGGTGCTGGTTTATACTTTACACACTTCTGTGAACAATCAGGGAATCAGGTAACAAGGCCTTTTAAACATTTTAGGCTTGCATAATGCTTTAAATAATGTACTGGAATTTAATCCACTTTATTTTATAGCACATTTTAAAACCTGTAACGTTTCCCTAGTGCTGCACAAAAAACAACAAAAAAAACATTTTTTAAAACAAACAAATAAACAAATGCTCTACCAGTGCTCATAAAAACAATAATAAAATCCTAAAACAATAAATAAAATAAAATCGTAAAAGACAAAGATGGTCATTTAATACTGTGATTTGTAATTCCAGCTGTGGGTGAATGCTGTTTATTTTTGGAGTGACCTACAAAATTATCACGAACTGTTTTACCAAGATGGACTGGACCCATACAGAGTTCAAAGGGAGGCTCAGGTATGTGAAAAAGTCACCATTAAAACAGAAAAAAATCACTAAAAGCAAATGAAGTGGTTATTAATGGAATGCTCTTTCAGATAATTACAGTTAATTTCTAAAATTTCAAAATTTTCTAAAGTCATACTATAAAACTATTTCATCCAACAAAATACTTGACCAAAATGTAATTGCTGCTTCTTCTGATTTATTACATTTCAATACAATATGAAACCAATACTAAGAAATACTACTACTATAACTTTACAATTGCTAGACAAATATGAATCAGTGTCAAACCACATTCAATACAAATATATTCTTTAAAAAGCCCATACTACAGTATTTTCTGATCTCTTTTGTAATGTTTCTTCATCAACACCTGGAGGAGTTTGTTTCATTCTCCTCTCAAAGAAAAAACTCCACCTTTTAATGTCTCGTGGTAATTCAGGAAGTGTTCCACTATGTTTTCAAACTCCATGTACCTTCACTAGAATCATTTGGATGATTTCAGACCTGGATTTGCCCATCTCTCCTGAACAAAAGGTAAAAGGAGCTGTTAACTTGAAAACTGCTGCTTCATGACATCACAAAGTGCAACAGAATTTTTAGCTTTGGTGATGTAGACAGGCTAATAATATAGGATTACTCATGTGTGAATGTAACAAAACACAACTCGGGTATGTTTTTGACAAGATAACAACATTCTAACATGACTTATAGCTCACAAGAGTCAATTTTGTGAAAAAAGGACCTTTAACAAATACTAACCTATACTATATTACTATTATAACTTTACATCGTCTTACTAATTTGCACGCACGCTAAGTAATTAACTAGTAAAATAATCTGTATGGCAAAGCTAAATTTTATAAAGAATAGCATTCTATCATTCTAATAAAGGGCAATAAAGAAATGAAAGGTTCTGAAATAAGTGCCAAAACGTAGCTTTATAAAGTTGTAGTCTTGCTCTTGTCTCAAAACACTCAGCTCCCCTTATTTTCCGTGCAGTTGATCTGATTTGATTCATTTTGTGGTAATAAAACAGAGATTGACTTTGACATTTTCTTCTGTTACTCTTACCCACACACCTGCTCATGTTTGCTTTTCAACCATCGCCTGCCAATAGCGGTCTCACCCTAAACCTAATGGAGAGATTTAAATAACCATAAAACACATGACTCAGACCCCCCTATCCCTGCCCCATGCTACCTACCCTTATGTCACCCTGCTTTGGACAGGAATTAGAACTGGTCAAGAAAATTCCAAATTACTTTTAGATGATCTTTCCGTAAAGTCCACGCCAGGTTAAAATGAGTGGCGTTTATGGGGAAAGATGGCAGCTGCAAAATTAGATGATGAGGGTTCTCGCAGGTGCTGGTAATCCTTGAATTGTACAGGATTTGTCAAGGTTTCAAAAGGAATTTCAGAAGATTCAACTGGAAGTCTGTGGAATTTACAATAACAAATATAATCACATCAAATGGAAAGACAAAAAGGATGTAGCTGGAAAGTAGCTGGGTGTAGCTAGCCTCTTATTCAACATTTTACCACTGGATTTATGAGAGATTTTTGCAGGTAGCAGTAGTTAAACTCTACTTTCTTTGGTAATATCTTCATACAAAATTCTTTAAATGTGCTCTATGCAACGTTTCTGGTGATGGGTCTGCCACCACCTGTTTGTCTCCATGGAGATGTTTGTGTTTTAGCTTGAAATGTTTTATAGTATGTTATTAAACTCTATCTATTATGTATTTCCATGAAGAAGAGTCAGATCAGCGAAGACACAAGCCCACTCACACCAAGAATGCATGTTTTTCATGGTATATATTTTTAATTTAAATAGGCCTATACTTAATGTAATGTAATCTAGTTTAATGCTGTACTTTGTTACTATTCAGACAATGTGATAATTCCATAGTTCCATGGAGACAAGCAAAGCAGACCCTCTCCATCAGAAAGATTACATTGTGCACTTTTAGAACATTTATGATGACATGGCTATAGCACCTTTGACACAATAAGACCCCATTATATCAATGATGAAGCTACAATAACCTTCCCTTATTGTTCCCTTCTGAAAGATCTCTTTGTTTTGACCACCTCCAGTTGCTCTATGCCACCTTCCTGTGCAGCTCGGCCTGGAGGAGCCTGGGCATCCACGAGGACATGAGGAGGAAAGTGTATGAGAGACTGATGCCAGCCTTTGAGGAGCTGTTTGATGACATAGAGGAGCATGTTTTAAGTATCCTATTAGAGCCTTGGACAATACTGATCAATAGAGACGAGGAGTCCTATCAGCAGGTATGTCTAGACTCTGAACAAGTGTCATACCACATTCTACAGCTCTGTGGAGTCATCAGCTGTGTATGTTAGCCTTTCACTTTGGTAAAACATGTGTTATTATTACATATATAGTTTAATGTATGGCAGCTATTGTACTTTTTACTGCTAGATGAAATTCTAAAACTAATGCAAAAGTCAGATGCCCATTTTGATATAAACCTGTACATTGCCCCAAACATGTACATTTGTACTATTGGCAGTTACTGAAGGTAATAGTCATTATAATAATGCAAGCCTGATATCGGCATGAAGTGTGTAGAAATATCCCAGGCAGGTCTAATCTCACTGTGGAGTGAAACGCCTCGGTGAAATTGGTAAATTGAGCGGCTACTTCATGCCCAGAGAATGTATGATATCATTTAATAGAAGGGTATTGGCGGGGCCCGGCAGAGCAGAGTTAATCAGACTTGACTGTAGTGCCGTGGATGGAGTGTTTACAAGCAGTTATGTTGTTAAAGTGAACATGAGCTGGTCAGCGAGTCCCTCCCAGGCCCAGCCACTGTCTGACCCCACCACACCTTCATGGCCAAGTCTGAGAAACATGGACTTCTTTAGCAGTGTCCTTGACTTTCACTTTTTGTTTGGTCTTTACCTTCTAGGAGCAACGTGGACACAGAAATTATAATGCATACCCTAGAACTTTATTAATATCAGTTCTTGATCCCAACTTTTCTGTTTATTTGGGCTTGTAACTAGCACAAAGAATTCTGACTCATGAACATAGGTTGAAATTTGATTTGATGCTTTGGGGCTAAGAAGATTATGTTTGAATAAGTTAAAAAAAATTGCCAGTACAACCAAATGGTTTTCGGAGCAGACCCAGCAATGTTATGGGACTGAGCATGTGTAATTGGGGGTCAGTGCTGATTCTGTACCCGGCAATTTTGTAGGATCTATGTGTGAACAGGACTTACAAAACATGTGATATCTTTTACATAGACCTATATTTTGTTGTTTGATTTAACCCAGGTGCCAGTGCAAGAGGAGACTCGTCGTGTGGATACTCAGGAGTACAGAGAGCTGCAGAGTCTGTACGAGGAATCAGGCAGCCGACTCAAACAGGTCATCCACTATATATCAATTTAAAAAGGGCCACAGTTTATATAAAAAGTGGCCATTTATTAGTCAGTAAACACACAGTGTAAGTGCCCTATAGCTAACCCAAATAAAACTGTGAAAAATGCGCGTTCCAATATTTATCTATCACCTAGTAACATGGCTGGCTCTCACTTCAGCCAAGGCTATATTACTTGGCAAGACTCAAATAGTAATATTAAGAGACTGTAGACTGCAGAAAAAATGGCACTGGACAAAATCTTTTTAATATTAATCTTGTTTATTTATGTATAATAGATTATGTGACTGCACTGAAGATAGTTCCAAGTGGCTTTAATATGTATTCCTATTTGAACTGAGTAAGATTATTGCTTATGGGTAAAGCAATCTCACCAAGATATTGTGCCAAACTATAAAAAGGCTTATCATTTAAGTCTAAGAAGTAAAAATACTATAAAATACAACAAACAAACAAAAAAAAACCATTATATTTGAAAGGTGCACTGTGTCACGTTTTGGTTGTGTGTCTATCACCTGCTTATTTCTGTGGATAGGATATGCCATTACTCTGCCTGAATGTTTCACAGTATGACTTTAAACAGCTCTGTTACATTTATCCAGCTACAGGTGATTTTATAACTCAAAAATACCTACAAAAATTCAGACTGAGATCTGGATTGCCTCTCCACAAAACCTACAACTTGGTCTGGTTTGTTCTCCATGAAAACCAAAAGCTTTAAAGCCACACAGTGAAACATAACATTTTCATGGAAAAAAAAAAAAAGACGTTCCCTCCACCTGAAGAGTTGTACAATCCACCCTTAAAGTTATTAATTTTTACATTTTTAAAGATGTGTTACATTTTGTTGTCACCTTTTCCCTTTTGTCTTACAGATGCAAAGTGACTCTGTGCTTTCTGCTCCTGAGTTTTCTTCCACACTCAGAATCCCACAGATGTCTGAATCCTGGTCCAAAGTATCTTCAGATTACAAAGGATACAGATTAGGTTCACTACTGCGACACAGACATGAGATCGGATACTTCATGAATTTCCTCCAAAACCAGAACGCAAGGTAAGGCTGTTTTATCTGTTTTAGCCTGTCACTATAAATACTATATTGATTTATCCACTATTTTGGGGATCAGTATTTATCGTAGTGCTTTTTCTATGTGCTAGTACTTATGCTACACCATAAGATTCATCTGCAGATGTCTTAATAAGTAACTTTGACACAAATGAATAATACAAATTACTAAAGTGTCTCATTCTGCTGTTTATTTATTGCAATTTGTGTTTTTTTTAACCATATTGTACATTTTAAATCATTTTTGGGGGATAATTCTACTTAAGGGTTTTTGTGTCAGTTGCATTCATTACTTTCAATATTATCATTTATATTTTCTTCAGCACTATATTATACTTTAAAATGTTTTTATTGTGACAGAAGATCCAGCAGATGACAAGTCAGAAAAGTTACAGTATGCACCTTTTAACAATTGCCCTGTGCATAAATTTAGCATCCACCTGTCCTGCTGGCTGGACTTGGAGCAGTACCGCAGGACTCATCAGACAGACACAGCCCTGAGACTGGAGAGGTCCGCTCACCTCGTCAACAGATATCTCAACAGGAAGTACTTCTTTGGACCAGACAGCCCTGCCTCCATCGACCAACAACATGAGGTACAATAACCACTGGATTTATTTTATAATATTATCTGAACGCAATCTGAGTATAACTGCAGGCATAGTAGCAGGCCTGCTCATATGCTGTTCATAATAGGACAGTTTAAGATGCAAGCCCTGCCTGATTTACTGCATTTTCTTTTGACAAAGTCTTGGTAAAATAATTTTCCTTGATTCCTTTTTGGCAACGTGCAGACATCACATTGACAGCTTTGACAATGGGGTGTCACTAGGGGGCAATGATGGAACAAGCGGGTGTTGATGACAGTTTTAAAAAAAATTGAATAGTTGGAAGTGTGGTTTGGATGGATCAGGTTTTGATAAGCTCCGGTGACATTGACACTGACAGTACATGATATTCCTCCAGACAGTTGTAGGCTCAAAGGGAGTAAAAGTGTAGAACCTCGGGAGATGAGAGAGTGGCTGTCATTGATGCCGCTCTGGTTAGATTCTCCCAATCAGTATGAGAAATGAGGTAGTCTTTGGCAGCAATGCGCTCCCGTTGTTGTGACATAAACTGTTTTTTTCATGTTCAAAAAAAGCATAATTTGGTCCACTATGATCAAACTAAGCGAAACTGAAATAACTTTCTATTCATCTTTCACTAAAAGCAATTGTAGACTCAACATTTAGAGCCAATATTTAAACAAATTCATGACTTGTGACTTCTGCAGTGAGTTCACTTTCCCACTAATAGCATTGTTACTACTCCAAACCAATCCTTTACTGTTTGCCTGCCATTTCTTCTATTCTTTATAAGAGTGTGTCGGCACTGGCAGCTGCTCCTCCATCTCGTCTCCGTGAGCCATGTAAAGAGGCTGACAGCTTTACTGCTTTGGCCCGGGATGCCTTCACTCAGCCAGGCAGCCCGTTTGAGATGGGACCCCCTTTCATCTGCTCTGCTCCCCTCCGCAGTGCCACGCATGGTTCTCATTTTAACATGCCCCAGAGTGTGAGAATGAGAAAGAGAACGCATGCAAAAAGAGATAGAAAGGAGATATAAATAGTTGGACATGGTCAGATTTGAGTCTGAAGACAGAAAGCAGAGAGCAGGGGCTGTGGGAACAGAGGAGACGAGAGGAGCTGAAGGCTTCTCAGGCAGGTTTTCAAATGGAACTTTCATGTTTAAGAGCCAGGGGTCCCAGTGTGGTCACTTTAAAGTCCACCTCAGATATCCCTCATGTGGTTGCTATTGAAGTCTATGTTTTGTTTCTCATACATTTTGAAAGCCTAGAATCTTAAACTGTATATTACTGTTTGAAATGGTACTGTACATATATGTATTCAATGATTGTTCTTATTACCACAGGGAATTGTGAGGAGCTATTGGCATAGGAAAAAACATGTCAACACAGAGACTGTTATGTTATGTGGTCAGTGGTGGAATGTAACAAAGTTAAAGTAGTAAAGTGTACTGTGTAGTGTGTGAGTACATTTACATCACTACATTTGAGAGCAGGTATCTGTACTTTCTGCTCCACTACACTGAACAAGTATTTTTAGTGTTGTTTGAGACCTGCTGAAAAGCCTGAGGGGTTATTTTTATCACCTTCATAATTTGAGCAAACAAAAATGTACAAAGATAAACAGCTTGGAAAAATACTATTGCTTCAGTTGTTTCTATGGAGCAAATTTCAGGCCAATCTTTATCAAAATCACTACATTTGAAGCGTAATTCGATCTCAAAATCTGCACAAAATTCTTTTTATTTTTACTCATTAAGTACATTTTTAAACAGGTACGACAACTTTTCACGTAACAACTTTTACTTAAGTAGATTTCTCCATGTGATACTTTTACTTTTACTTGAATGTTTTTTTGCTCTGGTATCTGTACTTTTACTTAAGTAACAAAATTGAGTACTTCTTCCACCACTGTATGTGATACCTCAGTTTTTCCCCATAAAGCCGCTATGCATATTACAAAGGCCATGTTATTTTAATCTGTTTGCTTCAAGGCCCAACAGATATTTTTTCTTCAGATCCTGCGTTTGACTGGAGGCTTTGAGAGGTTAAAGTTGGACTGTCTGTCAGATGCAGTCGTCATGGAGATCCAGGACATTGTCAGGAGTCACCTAGAGGGAACATGGCTTCCTGACTTCCTGTCCACAGCTGAGTTTGTGCAGAGGCAAAAGGACAAGCCAAAGGTAGACAGTAATACTGACTTCTAATATTCTCTGCTTATTGGCCAACATGCTGAATTAGATCTCCTTTTCTCTTGGCACTTCCTCCAGAATCACAAGGAAGATAAATATTTCCCTCAGTCTTTCTCTGAGTCTTCCAACCGTGGCTCAAACTCTGTGACTTTTTATTTGAGCTGAAAAAAGGCAGATAGTTTAAGTGTCACTTTCATCAAAAATAAATAAAGTAGTTAAAAGGGATCATATTAAGTTCTTTTGGATCTGCATTATTATTCTGTTTCCTAATCAAGAACCTACCCGGAGTTGTTTTGTTTCATTCACACATGTTTAACACACACATCCTGTATATTTGGGACTCAAATGAAAAACACCTTGCGTGTGTCGTGTGTAATTTAAGAAGTGTACACCTTCACTAGAATCATTTGGATAAATTCAACCCTGGAATTGCCAGTCACTACTGAACTAAAGGTAATAAGTAGCTGGTAACTTGGGAACTACTGCTTCATAACGTCACAAGATGGAACAGAGCATTTTGACCTTTCGAGATGTAGACGGACTAATAAACTAGGATTACTCAAATGTGTGAATGAAACAAAACTCAACTCCAGGTATGTTTTTGAGGAGGTAACAACATTTTAACATGTCTTAAAGCTCAGAAGAATACATTTTGTGTAATCTAGGACATTTAATGTTGGGACAAAACACCAGACTGCCAAAAGAAACTATCATATATGAATGCATCAAATAATTGTACTGCATAATTTATATTCTATTACAGCGGATTATGTGCATAGTAATAGGCAACGCTTACAGAAACCTGACCAACCAAAACCAGTAGCTAACTGCTTAACAAAACCGTTAATAACCGACTTTTAGCCTGTTTTGACATGGTTATTTAGGTCTAATTATAGTGCTATGTGAGAAACCACTAAAGACACTTCCAGTCTCTCTCTCAGGTTCCTGCACCGGGACCCTACACCAAAACCACAGATTCATTCGTCCACAGCGCACCATTATGTGATCGAGTTTACCACGTCCGCTCATTTAGGCAGTAATGAGATGTGCAGCTGGGCTAGGGTTACACCACTGGAAAAGACACTTAAGAGGTGAAGAAGACTGGAGAGGAGAGAGCAACTGCTAGAGAAGAGGAGAATTCAGATAGAGGAAAATCTCGTTAGCAGGTCATAGGTATAAAGTTATAGGTTACAATAGGAGATAGCTTCAAGTGGTGTTCAGTGTCTGTATGTTAATCCAGCTTCTCTCTGTTTTCAACTTCTGACCTGAGTACTGGTGGTGTTTTGTCTCTGCAGCCTCACGCAACAAGCAGGTTCTCGGACAATCGTAAAGGACGCCATCAACGCAAAGCAAGGAGAGAAATCCGGCAGGTAAGGTGAAGCCAGTAGGCAATACTGCCATGCTACTCAAACTGGGGTGCAGGGCTCAACAAGTATCCAGGTGTGTCCAGTGTACCTCTAAATGTTATACAATTTTGAGGAAGCTTTACTCTTATTTGGCTTGAACTGGAAAAAGTAACACATTTCATCCTTACATGATGGCAAAGGGCAGTTTTTTATTTAGCCCTGGTTTAGTCCTGGTTAAGTCCATGTTAGTCCTTCTTTAGAATTAATGACCAATTAATGTGGTGTATTTTCAAATGTAGTTAATTAGGCCTGTTCAGACTTTTCTACATTTTGAGTGTTGTGTTTTTTTTAACTTGAACCTGACCTATTTGACCCTTTCTCCTGGATATGAGTTCAGAACTGGTTAAGCCCTGGTTTAGTTCTGGTTTAGGTTTGTTTAGTCCTGTTAATCCTGCTTTAGAATTTAGAATTTAGTCCCAGATTAATCCTTGTTTAGACCTGGTTTAATACTGAATTTATAGACTATTAATGTTGGTTTGAGCCTAGTTTAGACTTTTTTAGTTTTTTGAGTGTTGATTTTTTATTTATTTTTTTAACTAATGGGACCTGACCCATTTTGTCCCTTTTTACTGGATATGAGTTCAGAACTGGTCAAGCTCTGGTTTAGTCCTGGTTTAGATTTGTTTTAGTCCTAATTTAGTCCATGTTAATCCTGGTTTATTGATTTAGTCCCATGTTAATCGTTGTTTAGACCTGGTTTAGACCTGAATTTAAAGATTGTTAATGCTGGTTTCTGCCTAGTTTGGTCTTTTGTTAGTTTTTTGTTGTTTTTTTTTTTTTACTTGCGGGACCTGACCCATTCTGGCCTTTTCTCCTAGATATGTGTTCAGAACTGGTCAAGCCCTGGTTTAGTCCTGGTTTAGTCCATGTTAATACTGGTTGGTTCCCAGATTAATCCTTGTGTAGACCTGGTTTAATCCTGAATTTAGAAATTGTTAATGGTGGTTTAGGCCTAGTTTAGTTTTTTGTGTTATGTTTTTACTTATGGGAGCTGACCCACATTGGCCCTTTCTCTTGGATATGAATTCAGAACTGGTTAAGCCCTGGTTTAGACACAGCTTTGAGCATCAGTGCGTTGCTGACATAATAGAGATATAAAACACTTGCTGGCTGAATTTCAAGACTGATTTTGTTCCATGACTTGGCTCCTTCAACTGGCTCTGTCAAACACCATTGTGGCCTTGTGGTTTCCAAATTGAATCCAGGATAAACAAGATTAAAGCAACACTAACCTGCCTGTTAGAGTCTGTGGGTGTAGGGCCATTCTCCTGTTCTCGAGATATGAAACATGGATATTTCCCATTCACATGATTACAGGAAGAGTTTTTACAATTGCGAGTATGATTTGAAGGATTGTTATCTGTTGGCAAAGAGCAGCTTTTTAGACTAACTATGATTATTATCTTGACTGACTGTAGCTTTGCCATGTTTCTTGCACTGAAGTATAAATATTTGGTACTCAGGGTTTTTATGTTTTTATTTTATATATTTTTTTATCTCAGTTCAATAAAGTTAAAGTTTTGATTTGCATTGTCCTGTTTTAATAGTTTAGTTTAGTTTTAGTTTACATTTTGTTCATTTAAAAAATCATTATGTAACTTTTATGGTCAAAGGCCTGTCACCGTGGAGATGTTCTTGAATGTTCCACACCATGGCATTAAACATGTCTATTTCCAGAGACAAGCAGAGAATAATGCAGAGGACACCACCAAGCCAAATTACAGATCAGATCTGTAAAGAGACAGCTAGAAAATAGGTTTTACAAGGCAATTAAAAACTGTGTTTTGAATTAATGTAAGGGGATACATTTAATCCCTTACTGTTGAACATTCTAGGAAAAGCATTAATATATCTATGGAGACAAAAAGTTGTAAACCCCTTCACCAAAAAATTTACATAATGCACCTTTTAACAGTAGATTTGAAAATTAAACCTAGGATTTTTTCTTTTTTTTACTTATTCTGCTTGTATTGGCATAAATGAACATGTAATCTCATTGCTTTAACCTGGTTTAGTGTAAACTCCACTGCCTTTGCCCTTCTTGAGTACAGTAGATTACACATATTTTCTGAGGTGGTACTTGTTTCCCCTTCTGACTGATTATATTGTTATGTAACAGTGTGAAGGTCTGTGGATGAGCTCGTCCAAAGAGATTCTGTCTTTTCGGAAGGTCCTTCTTGACCCCGCCTCCTGTCTGCAGTTCCAGCACTTTGTCTCTCTGAAGGGGGACTTCCTGGAGAACGATGTGCTCTTTTGGCTCGAGGTGCAGAGATACAAGGTAAACAGAGACACTGGACACTGGCTGCTGCTGCTGGATCACTTACATGCAACCTCTTCTGTTCCAATACTTAAACATACTTGACTTGCAAAGTGAATGACTAATTTTGAACAATCTTCTCTTGGCTTATTAGTATAGAATTACTGCACTAATCCTATAATTGGAAGTAGTTAAAAAGAGGATGGAGCTCATTCTCTTGTATATCTTGTTGCAAAAGAGTGCAAGAGTTACTTAACTTACAAACACTTTTTGAAAAACACTTCTGTGTGACAAGAGAAGGTGTATTATTTTTAAAGACACACGGGCTGAGATTACATGATTATAATCTAACTTCTACACTGTTAAGATTATTTCAATCACATGAAAACAGCAAAGTCTGATGTGAGCAATCAGAGGAAATCAGAAAGAAATTAAATGATTTTGCTATTTACATTTCAATTTATTAATCAAGTATGCATGTAACCACAGCCGCTGTCTAACTCAGGGGTGTCCAAACTTGTGTCATTTGCATTTTACATAGCTTTGACAGAGCCTCCATACCTTTTAATAAAGCTTCCATCCATCCATTTCAGGTCTAATTACTTAAATTTGGACCAATAGAATATGGTCTGAGAGCTGCATTTGGTCCCCAAGCCATTGCTTGGACACCCCTGGACTAACCCATGGATGAATTGTTGTGTTATATGTAGTTTTTCATCTGGGTTTACACTGAAAAGTCTGATCCTCTGTCTGCCCTCTGTGTCTGTGTCCAGGACTTGTGTCACTCTCACAGTGATGAGGCCACCATCGAGAAGAAGATCTCCACCATTATCAGTGTTTTTATCAACTCTTCTGTTCCTCCAGCTCTGCAGATCGACATCCCACCTGACCAGGCTCAGACTCTCCTGGAGAACCGCCACAAGTTGGGACCATACATCTTTAGAGAGGCTCAGGTCACACTTCAAATTCACTCCGTTATGAATAAAAAAATGCCAAAAATTTTTGAACCAGTATTTTTTTCCATTTGAAACATTTACCACTGTTATCGCTGGACTATTAATAGTCCCAGTGTTTCTCAAACTATGGTACATGGGCTGACTTTGGTAGTAGGTGAGACCCTCTGTAGAAAATAAAGTTTAAGATTATTTATTTTTTTATTATTTATTCAGCTTGGATTATGTCATAAATTAACCCCATTGCTTTAACCTGGTTTAGTTTAATCATGTTTTGTCCTCCCTTGGGTTAATTATTATTTAGATTCATGGTTTAGTCTAATTTCAGAGCATGATTTTAGTCTAATTCTAAACTTGGTTTTGCCCCAACTTAGGCCTGATATAGACTGGGTCTATCTAGTTATACTATTAAAGCCAAACATGATCTTAGGTGGTACTTGACCTGAAAGAGGAGAAGGAGGAGAGGAGGACACTGCTGAGGGAAGAAAGGAGAGTAGGGCACTGATGAGAGCATACATTTTTGACCACCAAAAATCAACAAATATCTAAACTTGAGCTCCAAACATTTTTTATTAGAACAGCAAAGTTTTTACTGGTGAATTACTAGATGGACTGGAATGATTTGTATTAATCAGAAAACAATGTTTTTTTTCACTGCAGATGTCAGTGTTCAGTGAGCTGTTGAGGTTCTGGCCCGAGTTTCAGGATCTCAGGAGCAGTTTTCGAGAAGAACAGCTTCTGCAGTTGCTCGAGCAGAAAAGACTGAAGCACAGAGCTAAAGTGAGACGACAGAGACGCAGAGAGGAGGAAGAGGAAGAGGAGGAGAGGAGGGCACAGGTGAGGGCCGAAGAGAGGAGGAGGAGAAGTATTTCTTTCACTCACTTATAGGAGTTGTTCTGAGTAGACTTAAGATGCTCAGTTGATTCATGAAAGTTTGATCTGATCCAGACTGATCGTGTATCTGACTCTGTGGCGTCACTTCTGTTGTGATTCCACTTGTCTCTCACAACCGGCTCACTCATGGATCTATGACTTTTGGATCGCTGACAATTTATGTAACACTGAAAATACTGTCCTGGTTAAAAGCTATTTAACAAAAAACAAATGTTAAATTAAACTTAATAAAGTGTGTGTATTATTAGCATAGTGGACTAAACTTTTTTTTTTTTTTTTTTTACAGGAAGAGCAGCAAAAGCAAGAGTCCAGCTTCAGAGATGAGGATGAGGAGGATGATGATGAAGAAGACTTTTCAGACGAAGAAAGAAGTGTCCACAGACTGTCCAAAACCCAGAGCAGATTGCAGTTCACTCCAGCTAAGGTCGTAAGTATGAGTTCAGTTTTCGTAAAGGGACCAATCATTATAGGCATGTTGGTATAACATTGTATCTCTCAGAGCGGAGCCAAAACTAATGGAAAGATTTCCTCTGATAACTGTCAGTGATTTTAGTCCAACTGGGGAGCAACTGTAGCCGCTAATTTCAGCATTTTTATGATCGAGTTAGACTGGATTTGCACTATTGTGTAAAAGACACTCGATTTTCTAATGACTCAGAGAAGAATGGACTGTACAGTAAAGATGAGAAATAAATGTATTAAGTGTATTAAGAGCTAAGATACCAGTACAGTTACTCTAGCTCTTTCCCATTCCACAATTGTCCAGAAATGTCTTGGTTAGACCTGTCATGATAATAATTTTTAACTATATTGACTTATGGTTCAATATGTGAAAGCTGGAACTATATAATATTTTGGGTTTCAGTATTTATCGCAGGGACTTTTTCTTTGCAATAATGGGGAGATTTTTGTTGTAATGAGTTGTAGAGGTTTGAATAAGTAACTTTTATGGCCAATTATAGTTTCAATCTGCTAATTATTTGTTGCAGCTCAGGCCTTTTAATGACAGGTATATGTTAAAATTGGTTTATGAGGACTATTCTGCTTCATCGTGGTATTTCTCTGTAATATATTGTGCTTGAGAATGTGTTATAGTGACCTAGGCCTAGTCTTGGTCATAAACTCATAATGTTGTGTATTCACACCGTCCACATACAAATGATTTCCTCTCTCTACAATAATAAAACTATTGTATGTCCTTTTAGTTAACATGGTCTTACTCCAAGTACATGGCAGCTCTGAAGAGAGAGGAGATCCTGTTGAGAAGGAAGAATCAGCTGGATACCTCGTTCTCCACTATTTCAGGTGAGTCAAACTTCCACTTTTTAGGCCAAAAATACTGAAATCACATTAAACTTTTCCCACAGTTAAGTCCAAGGTAAATTTTCTTACTGCCAGCTTAAGCTTCAGCTCTGTCAAACCACTATTCTCACTTTCTCATTAACTCAAATGTAAGCCAAAATCTCCCTTCAACCTGTCCATAAGTGTCCACGGACTGGGCAGAACTTGGGAGTTATATTGAGCTCCTAAATGAAGCGTAAAACACAGGTCTGAGTCCTAGCCACAGGAGGGGAGGGAGGGGGCAGAGCTGAGGTGTAGTGAGAATGAAGTTTTAATGTGATCTGACAGTGAGGAACAGATGGACATCATCACGGCATTTTAGTGCAGAGAAGCAGATTTCTGTGTGGACAGTTCACAGCAAGAAGCCAGGAAACCGACTTTTAACAACCAATACATAAAGTATAAGAGGAAAATGTGGAGTTACAGAATAGTTTGATGATACTTATGCCTCAGTAAGGAGTGCTTAAGGTATAATGATAAAAAAACTGATATTTTTAAAGATTCAAACAATTAAATGTTATGTCTAATATAATGCAAACCTATGCAAGTGTGTAGTAGAGTGGTATATAGCCTTGAAGTATTTGAGTATACATCTGAAACAGATGCCAGAGCCACTTCAGCTGGTTCCTCTCAACGTGAAAGAGCGGCAGCTCTACTCCAAGCTGAGAGTTCATGTTCCCCACCCTATCTCTAACTGACCGCCCATCCACTCTGCGGAGGAAACTTATTTCGGCCGCTTGTTTCCATGATCTTGTCCTTTCGGTCATTATCCAGAGCTCATGACCATAGGTGAAGGTAGGAACCTAGACTGACCGGTAAATCAAGAGCTTTGCCTTCTAGCTCAGCTCCCTCTTCTCCACAATGGCTCAATACATCGACTGGATCACTGCAGACGCTGCACCGATCCGCCTGTCAATCTCATGCTCCATCCTCCCCTCACTCGTGAACAAGACCCCGAGATACTTGAACTCCTCCACTTGAGGCAAGGACTCTCCACCCACCTGGAGAGGGCAAGCCACCTTTTTCCGGTCGAGAACCATGGTCTTGGATTTGGAGGAGCTGATCTTCATCCCAGCCACTTCACACTCGGCTGCAAACCACCCCAGTGTACATTGCAGGTCCTGGCTTGATGAAACTAACAGGACAACATCATCTTCAAACAGTAGAGATGAGATCCTGCGGTCCTCAAACCAGCCCCCCTCTGGCATTCTGTCCATAAATACAATGAACTGGTGACAAAAAGCGTCGAACGTGCACCGGGAACAGGTCTGACTTACTGCCGACAATGTGAACACAGCTCCTGGTTAGATCATACAGGGACCGGAAAGCCCTTAGTAAAGGGCCCGAATCTCATACTCCCAGAGCACCCCCCACAGGACACCACGAGGGACACGGTTGAATGCCTTCTCCAGATCCACAAAACACATGTGGACTGGTTGGGCAAACTCCCATGAACCCTCGAGCACCCTATGGAGAGTGGAGAGCTGGTCCAGTGTTCCACGGTCAGGATGAAAACCACACTGAAGTTCGACTATCGGAGAAGGGTTCAATTGAAAGCTGTTAATCCGGATGTTGATGTTGAGAGAGCTGGATGTTGACAGTAACGAAGAACGGAGCCCCACCCACACAGGAATGGCCATAGCATGGGAGCGCCCATTTGTGTCCACAGCTGGATGATACTGGACTATGAGCCGGATTCTCCTCTCCAGTACTCTGGAATAGACCTTACCGGGGAAGTTGAGGAGTGTGATTCTCCTATAGTTGGAACACACCCTCCGCTCCCCCTTCTTAAACAGAGGGACCACCACCGCGGGCCGCCAGTCCAGAGGCACTGTCCCCGACCGCAACACAATGTTGCAGAGACGTGTCAGCCAAGACAGCCCACAACATCCAGAGATTTAAGATACTCAGGACGGATCTTATTCACCCTCAGAGCCTTGCCACCAAGGAGCTTGCCAACCACCTTAGTGACTTCAGCAAGGGTGATGGATGGATGGGAGTCCGCCTCCGAGTCCCCAGCCTCGGCTTCCTCCTCGGAAGACACGATGGTGGGATTGAGGATTTAAAATAATTCAAACCTGAAAATAATGAACATTTTTAACACTACCACATAAAAAAGACAGATTTGTCACAATAATTACTATATTGACTTATTGTTCAATACTTGGAACAATCATTTTTGAGGGTCAATATTTATATCTATCATGTGTTCTTTTTCTTTGGTTATTTTTCTGCACTACAATACCATTTGGACTGTAACTTCTATGACTCATTATAGACTCAAATTAATTACTTAAGTGCTACATTGTTATTTATTGCATTTAAGACACTTTTTGGAGCTAATTCAGCTTTATGGTTTGCTTTCAATATTATCATTTAGATTTAGTTCAACAATATATCACACTTGAAAATTTGTCAAGCCAACAGATTTGTACTTAATACTTAATTTCTGTCAAAATAATTTAAGGAAAAAAGTGTACCTGAAATTACAGTCCAAAATTAACTCCAACTTTGCACATAAAGACACTTTTGAGCTAAAGGTTTGAATATTTCTTTCACCGTCCCTGTGCAGACTTCTCCTCCTGTAGTGTGAGGTCAGCTGGGACAGTCCACACTCAAAAACAACTGTCACTCCGATCCAGGACCAGCACCCAGCAGCGCCACAGTTACAGCAGTGAGTCTATCAGCATAACTTATGTATGTATGTGTGTGTGTGTATTTTCTACTGTAACTGTTATTCTTATTGCAGAGGGAGTGAAGCCTTTTAACATTAAGTGACCCCAGAAATAACACCAAAGAGTAACTGATGAACAAAGAAGACCCCAGAGCTCTTGAAGCTCATGAGGACTTAGTTGTGTATTATATGTGTAGTAATGCAATGACATGTTTATCAATAGTATTTGTTTACAAGTCTCATAGTCTCATCTTGGAATTGCGAAAACATTTGTCACATGAGTACTGCATTCACTATCATGTATGAAAATATAGATCCAGGATGAACAGAGCAGCTGTGTTACATGTGCACTCGAAATCAGATTATTATCAAATAACGTTTTAGTCATTAAAATGTAAAAAACTGGCCATGGTCCGTCTGACTACTCACATTTTGTGGTTTACATATCATTTAAAGAGCCCCTATTAAACTATTTTCTGATCTATGTTATAATATTGTTTCCTCATCAAAAACATGACACCTGAAGTTGTGTTTTGTTTCATTCACAGAGCATTCTGAGCTTTAGAGATGCAGACAGACTAATAATAATGGATTACTCAAAACTGTGAATTAAATAAGGCACAACTCCAGGTATGTTTTTGAGGAGGAAACAATCAAACATGGCTTAAAGCTCACAAGTGTAATACAGGGTGTTTAAATCATCTTTTGTATTTTGGTGTGCACATGGACGTCACCAGTGAGTCATTGGTCCACATCAGACCTGGTTTATTCCAGTGCTACTGTAATTTTTATTTTATTTTTTTTAAATCTGATATGTTTTTGTTTAATGAACCCTTTTGGTGCATATACCAGGTTACTGTGCCAAATACAATTACACATATTTAGTGCTAACATGTGTTTTGCTCAGATACATAAATTATTGATCACTGTGGCTTGTCTGGTCTGTACAGGTCACTGCTTTGACACAATAATATGTTCTAAAGCACCCAGTGCAGTTTTTAAACATGCAAAGTATATTAATTTGTCGGTGAACAATCTCACAGTTTTAGTTGTTGTCATATACCCTTAAATAATGACAAAGAAGTGAAGTAAGTTAATGCTGTTCAATGTAATGATGTGCCAGGGCCGTCTGTTCAGGGGAACATTTTAAACAGGCGCTCATCTTGTCATCATCAGCTCTTCCTTTTCCTCTGAGATGGACCAAAAAAGGCAGCTCGTTTGAGCACATCAGAGATCACAGCGGAGTGTTGAGCGCTCTCTTGACTTGAAACCACATCTTGTCTTTAAACAGAGACAGAGCAGTTGGTGGTTCTTTGAGAGGAGCAGACGCCTCTGCTGGGACCTGATCATTGACCATTGTATGTTTTCTGGATGGCTTCTTTCCAGAACCTTTGGTCTCTGGTTTTTCAGACTTGGTCACCTTGCAGATCCTTTTCCTGGAGTCCGTTTTACACGAAGGAGGTTTAGTGGAGTCCTTAGGCACAGGCAGAGCCAGTGCACCAGCTACAGCATGTGGATGTGGAGCTGTTATGACATGATAATGTCCATTGTCCACTGCCTGGTGGAGCATTGCTGAACCCTGTAGGTGAAGTGCCATAGGCTGACTGTAGTGTTGGACCAGTATATGCTGAGGTTGTCCCACAGAAGCTTGTACTGGGGCCTCAGAGCAGGTGGAGCATTAAACAGACATTTCCTTTGAGGCTCAAAGTCCATCTCAACTTCTCTATAATCAAAGGTGTTTAAGAAGGAGATGATATTGTCTCTGACCCCACTGAGATTGTCTGTTTCCATATCTCCATAGTCAAAAGTGTCGGTGAACAGTCTGATGTCCTTCACAATGTCACTCGCGTTGAGCAATGATTGAGTAACAGGAGTTAACTAGAAAAAAAGGGTTTGGTTCAGAGAATGAAGGAGTGTGTTCGGTTTGCAGTTTGTCCACAAAATGAGCTGAAACTGAACATGTCCTAGAGCCACTAGCTCTTCTCTATCAGCGACAGCTTAGAACATAATGCATATTAGCATATTATTTTCACTTAATTTTTAACACAGTACAATACTGTTTATTTAAAAACAAAATGAGTCATAGTTGGAGCAAAAGGCAGTTTGAAGTTTTTCTATATAAATTACCCTTGGTGAAATTAACATAAGAAATAATGGGCATTTGTTGACTGCAGGCGATAAAACAAGTATTTAATCTTCTACTCATATTATGTCTTTTTGCTTTATGTCACACTTTTACTGTTGGTGAGACTCCTTTGCACTCGACTGGTTGGGACTTCCAGTGTTTTAGCCCTCTGCTGATGACACAGTTCAAGATAACAAGTGCTGAGCTGGCAGTGTCCTTGGCACAGCAGCAGAATTTCTCTATCAGTGATATAATTTCAATATTTTCATTGGGAAATTTCCAAATGTTGCCCCTTCCTCCCTGCCTGAGATCAGTTGTTTCTGTAGTATATTTTCACCATTTTTACTCACCTCAATTAAGAGATGTTTTTGACCAGTGCATTCATGTACTTCTAGGTCTAACACTATTGAATGAATCTGCCAAAAAAATCAGTTTCATAGTATTTTTATTAAAACAATTCTCTTATATATTCTCCATTTACAAAGGCGTTAGTCTTCACTCACAGCTCACACAATAAAAATGCATTAATCGCACATTTGCATCATCAGGGATTGGCAACAAGTATAAGCACTTTCTGTGTTGAGAAACTCCACTTACATCATCTCTACAAACATTTTGGTTACAGCTGGTACATAGAGCGTCAGTCAACATGTTGATAATATTGCACTTTACATTGGCATCGCACACACTTGGAGGAGGACAGAGTAAACAAGGACAGCTACAGTGAGGAAAGAGACCGTGCAGCATTTCAGTCAGATCCAAAAGCTCAATTTAACACTAAAAACACACTTGGCCCGTTGTAGTTTAAAATATTCAAAGACATGTGGCCTTAGTCAATCACTGTTAATTACTAAATGTATAACAGGGCTACACATTATTTCTCTGATTATTAGTACTACTGTGTGTGGCCTTCACATTTATATTTTGCTTTGTGTTTAGCAAGATCCAAAAAAAAGTATAGTAATAGAAATTTGAAAAGGTATTTCATGTTTCAGTTACTATTGTGCAGCCTGTTTGATATATAAATCTCATGTGAACATGAGAAATGGGGTTTTCTGTTATTGTTAGAATGGCACAAACATTTCTAAATCTAACATGTGTAAAAATCAGTAGTTTTCATAGTGTTCATCCCAAACACAAATGTTCCAGTAAGAATAAATACGTGTGAACTTGGGAACAGTGTGCTTTGCAAACCCATACACCTTTGTGTGAAAACAAATCTATTTTACAAAAGAGTCAGACATGAGCAGTTTTTAACACCATGACATTTATCCCTCAATACAGTTTTCCCATTCTTCCTTTTATACAAAATGACAAATTTAAGGCCTCTATGTTTGCAGAGATCTCACATATAAAAATGTTTACAAAGCAGCCTTAGTAACGTTCTAGTGAAAAAACAACTCACAATTGCAGTAAAAACATTAATAAATGCATATTTATCAATTACTCAGCCAAGAAAGTGTTTTCAGACAGACACAAAAGCTGTTTGTGACTCTGTGTTTATGGACGACATGGTAAACATGTGAAGGATAAACAAAAGCACATAAGGATTAAACAGTTTTATGGGTATTTACAATAGTCTTTTACTCTTCACTGAAAAATAAACAAAAACAGAGTGATTCTAAAATGTTACCAATGTTAGGGCATATCAAGGTAATTGCCAAATAGGTAAACATTTGAACAATAAAATCATATGTCTTCAACTTAGTGAAATCCAATTCTTAAGGCCTTGTTCTTGACCATGTGGAACTTACTGACAAACACTTTGGCAAAGGCAGGGTCCACCAGGTACCTGTAGGCCTTAGCGACAGAGGGCGGGGGCTGGGCCAGGTTCACTGTGGGCTGCAGCTGGAGCGAGGAGCTGGAGGGAGCCAAAAACTGAGACGAGCGATTCACGAAGTCCACCAGGCGTTTATACTGCTGCTCCGACAGACGCTCACGGACTCCATCAGCCTGCACATGAGAAGAACATGAGATGGTCTGATACTAACTCAGTACACAGAAGAAGACTGAACCAAGCAGAACCAGGGACATGAGACAAACTGCAGTAAGAATAACAAGAAATACAATCATCTGAAAGGACAAAAAACAATGATCAGATCATCTACTGTGCAAGTTACACTGCAAAATATGTTACTCAGTAATTACTCTCTGAAAACTAGACGCACCGATCCAGCTTTTTCAGCTTCCATACAGATATCGATACTTGCGCTTTAAGTATCTGCCAATATTAGCCGATACCAGTTTAGGGACTTGTATTAAGTTATGTAATTGTATGAATAAAAGTTTAATCATTATGAGACACCCTAAGCCTACATCAGCAGGTAAATAGTCTTTTTACATCAAATATAAACCGTGGATATCGGCAAAACCGATATCAAGAGACTGATATCCAATCCAGAAAAAAATTCTGGATTGATGCCAATATCCGAAACCAGTATCTGTATCAGTGCATCCCGACCGAAAACTGCTCAGAGAAGCACTTTTTAAGTTACAAAAGACACAAGTAAATGTACTGCTACTTTATTATGTGATAAAAAAGAGAATCAATATAATAAATGACAGACTTGACTTCTTTGCCAATAATTGTCAGAATTTCACCAACAAACAAAAGCCCCATATTTAGTCATTTGAGAACACAAGCATCTGCCTTGTGTTATGAGAAAAGTAACTCTAAACCAGATCTGCTCTCCGTCATGTCTTCAGCTCATATCTGGTTGGTGTTGCGTGTCGGGGTCATACCTCGGGGTCATTGGTCACTGTCTGCTGCTGTAAGGTGAGAGTCAGTTCACCCTTTTGTCCTGCGTCCTGTTCACACTCCACCTATGGGACACATTTGGGGATGAAGGTTAGTGTCAGCATGAGCAGATCTGTCCCTTGTTAGCGAACAACATAGACTGTGTCCAACGGCAGACATTACTGCAGTCTTCTCGCCATGGACTGTACAGAGAAGTGGACTAAGGGAGTTTGACGTCACCCATAGTGTTCAGGTCCAGTCAAATGAAGCTCACGATGCTAAAACAGTTACAGGAGTGAATCTGGAGCCAGGTTCATATTAGAAACAGGAATTTAGCATGAATAAAAACACCAGGGTTATGTATAAGCAGGTTAAGAAAAATATTTTAAGACCAAATCAACGATTTTCAATGTAAAGTCAATTGGAAACAGAATCGATGGAGTCAACGTCCTGTCAATTTGAGCTACCCGTCGATTTGAGCTACCTGTCGATTTGAGCTACTCGTCAATTTGAGCTACCCGTCGATTTGAGCTACCTGTCGAATTGGGCTACCCGTCAATTTGAGCTACCCATCAAATTGAGCTACACATCGATTTGAGCTATTCATTGATTTGAGCAACCGAATGATATGAGCTACCCAATGATTTGAACTACATGTCAATTTAAGATACCAGATGGGTTGAGCTCGGCTGAAACTCGGATCCAGGAAGAGAAGTGTGGTTTTAGTCCTGGCCGTGGAACACTGGACCAGCTCTACACTCTCCATCGGGTGCTCGAGGGTTCATGGGAGTTTGCCCAACCAGTCCACATGTGCTTTGTGGATCTGGAGAAGGCATTCGACCGTGTCCCTCTTGGTGTCCTGTGGGGGGTGCTCTGGGAGTATGGGGTTTGGGGCCCTTTGCTCAGGGCTGTCTGGTCCCTGTATGACCGGAGCAGGAGCTGTGTTCGCATTGCCGGTAGTAAGTCAGACCTGTTCCCGGTGCATGTTGGACTCCACCAGGGCTGCCCTTTGTCACCGGTTCTGTTCATTGTGTTTATGGACAGAATTTCTAGGTGCAGTGGGGGTCCGGTTTGGGGACCACAGGATCTCATCTCTGCTGTTCGCAGATGATGATGTCCTGATGGCTCCATCAAACCAGGACCTTCAACATGCACTGGGGCGGTTTGCAGCCGAGTGTGAAGCGGCTGGGATGAAGATCAGCTCCTCCAAATCCGAGGCCATGGTTCTCGACCGGAAATAGGTGGCTTGCCCGCTGGGTGGAGAGTCCCTGCCTCAAGTGGAGGAGTTCAAGTATCTCGGGGTCTTGTTCACGAGTGAGGGGAGGATGGAGCGTGAGATTGACAGGCGGATCGGTGCAGCTTCGGCAGTGATGCGGTCGCTGTATCGGACCGTTGTGGTGAAGAGGGAGCTGAGTCGAAAGGCGAAGCTCTCGATTTACCGATCAATCTACGTCCTACCCTAACCTATGGTCATGAGCTCTGGATAATGACCAAAAGGACAAGATCGCGGATACAAGCGATCGAAATGAGTTTCCTCCGCAGGGTGGCTGGGCGCTCCCTTAGAGATAGTCTGAGGAGCTCAGTCACACGGGAGGAGCTCGGAGTAGAGCCGCTGCTCCTCCTCGTTGAGAGGAGCCAGTTGAGGTGGCTCGGGCATCTGTTTCGGACGCCTCCTGGACGCCTCTCTCGGGAGGTGTTCCGGACACGTCCCACCGGGAGGAGGCCCCGGGGAAGACCCAGGACACACTGGAGGGACTATGTCTCTCGGCTGGCCTGGGAACACCTCGGGATCCCCTGGAAGAGCTGGAGGACGTGTGTGCGGAGAGGGAAGTCTGGGAGGCCCTCCTCAGACTGTTGCCCCCGTGACTCGACCCCGGATAAGCGAAAGAAAATGGATGGATGAATGGATGATTTGAGCTACTCGTTGATTTGAACAACCGGATGATTTGAGCTACATGACGATTTGAGCTACCTGAGGATTTGAGTTATCCGTCAATTTGAGCTACCCATCGATTTCAGCTATCTGAGGATTTGACCTACCCATCGATATGCACTACCCGTCGATTTGAGCTACCCGTCGAATTGAGCTACCTATAGATTTGAGCTACCTGTCGAATTGAGCTACACATCAATTTGAGCTATTCATTGATTTGAACACCTGGATGATTTAAACTACCCGATGATTTGAACTACATGTCAATTTAAGATACCAGATGAGTTGAGCTCGGCTGAAACTCGGATCCAGGAAGAGCAGTGTGGTTTTAGTCCTGGCCGTGGAACACTGGACCAGCTCTACACTCTCCATCGGGTGCTCGAGGGTTCATGGGAGTTTGCCCAACCAGTCCACATGTGCTTTGTGGATCTGGAGAAGGCATTCGACCGTGTCCCTCTTGGTGTCCTGTGGGGGGTGCTCTGGGAGTATGGGGTTTGGGGCCCTTTGCTCAGGGCTGTCTGGTCCCTGTATGACCGGAGCAGGAGCTGTGTTCGCATTGCCGGCAGTAAGTCAGACCTGTTCCCGGTGCACGTTGGACTCCACCAGGGCTGCCCTTTGTCACCGGTTCTGTTCATTGTGTTTATGGACAGAATTTCTAGGTGCAGAGGGGGTCCGGTTTGGGGACCACAGGATGTCATCTCTGCTGTTCGCAGATGATGATGTCCTGATGGCTCCATCAAACCAGGACCTTCAACATGCACTGGGGCGGTTTGCAGCCGAGTGTGAAGCGGCTGGGATGAAGATCAGCTCCTCCAAATCCGAGGCCATGGTTCTCGACCGGAAATAGGTGGCTTGCCCGCTGGGTGGAGAGTCCCTGCCTCAAGTGGAGGAGTTCAAGTATCTCGGGGTCTTGTTCACGAGTGAGGGGAGGATGGAGCGTGAGATTGACAGGCGGATCGGTGCAGCTTCGGCAGTGATGCGGTCGCTGTATCGGACCGTTGTGGAGAAGAGGGAGCTGAGTCGAAAGGCGAAGCTCTCGATTTACCGATCAATCTACGTCCTACCCTAACCTATGATCATGAGCTCTGGATAATGACCAAAAGGACAAGATCGCGGATACAAGCGATCGAAATGAGTTTCCTCCTCAGGGTGGCTGGGCGCTCCCTTAGAGATAGTCTGAGGAGCTCAGTCACACGGGAGGAGCTCGGAGTAGAGCCGCTGCTCCTCCTCGTTGAGAGGAGCCAGTTGAGGTGGCTCGGGCATCTCTTTCGGACGCCTCCTGGACGCCTCTCTCGGGAGGTGTTCCGGACACGTCCCACCGGGAGGAGGCCCCGGGGAAGACCCAGGACACACTGGAGGGACTATGTCTCTCGGCTGGCCTGGGAACGCCTCGGGATCCCCTGGAAGAGCTGGAGGACGTGTGTGCGGAGAGGGAAGTCTGGGAGGCCCTCCTCAGACTGTTGCCCCCGTGACTCGACCCCGGATAAGCGAAAGAAAATGGATGGATGGATGATTTGAGCTACTCGTTGATTTGAGCAACCGGATGATTTGAGCTACCTGTCAATTTGAGCTACCTGAGGATTTGAGCTACCTGATAATTTGAGCTACCTGAGGATTTGACCTACCCAACTATTTGAGCTACCTGTCAATTTGAGCTACCTGATGATTTGAACTACCCATCGATTTGAGGTGCCTGTCGATTTGAGTTATCCGTCAATTTGAGCTACCCATCGATTTCAGCTACCTGAGGATTTGACCTACCAATCGATTTGAGCTACCCGTCAATTTGAGCTACCGAATAATTTTCGCTACCCGTCAATTTGAGCTACGCATCAATTTGAGCTACCCGTCGATTTGAGCTACCCGTCGATTTGAGCTACCCTTCGATTAGAGCTACGCATCAATTTGAGCTACACGTCGATTTGAGCAACCGGTTGATTTGAGCTACCCATCGATTTGAGCTACACGTCAATTTAAGCTACCCGATGATTTGAGCTACTCGTTGATTTGAGCTACCTGTCGATTTGAGATACCTGATGATTTGAACTACCCATGGATTTCAGCTACCTGAGGATTTGACCTACCCAACGATTTGAGCTACCTGCCAATTTGAGCTACCTGATGATTTGAACTACCCATCAATTTGAGCTACCTGTCGATTTGAGCTGCCTGTCGATTTGAGTTATCCGTCAATTTGACCTACCCAACGATTTGAGCCACCTGTCAATTTGAGCTACCTGATGATTTGAACTACCTGTTGATATGAGCTACCCATCGATTTGAGCTACCTAGCGCTAGTGCGCACGCCCCCAAGAGCTGTTACAGTTTAAATGTCCATCGATTTGATTTACTGGAGGCACAGACGGGATAAATTTCACTTCCTAGATTGTGTGTATATATTTTTGAAATAATAAATGTTTCTTCTGTTGTCCCTTTTTCTGTCTTTATCCATCATGATGAAGTCCACTGTTTTTGGCTCTATATAAATAAAATTGACATCTTCAATGTTCCCAGTATCACAAAGGTGACGTGTGCGCCCTCTAGTGCAGGGGTGGGCAATTATTTTTTCCATGGGGCCACATGAGAAACAGAAAATATTGTGCATAACTCAATTCTGGATAATATTAATTGTATTTCTTTATAAAAAGCAGTAAATAGCATTGTTATTGACAAGTTGGTAAGAGTTTATGTTATGATTAAGCAATGAAAACGTGACGGGGCCTTACAAAAATTTAATTAAAAAAGCCCCCAAAAAAACACGTAAAATAAAAGCAATGCAGCTTTAGTCCATGCATGAGGCAAAATTATAAAATTTTGTTTATTTTATAATTCCAAATGAGCTAAAAGGGGCCAGTCAGAGTCAACCAAAGGGCTATATGTGACCCGGGAGCTGGACAATGCCCAAGTCTGCTCTAGTGGATGCATTATTTGGGAGAAGTTATACTGGCAGTCAAGATTTGCTACCTCTACCCATATTCAGATAAATGAGTGAATAATGGTGATTCTGCAGTGGGAGCAACATTCGATGGCAAAATTGGCCTATTGATATGTGCAACCTTTAGTTGGAGCCCTATTTGAGCATAATATGACTGTCGAAATGAACTACTTTTGCATATTCATATAAGGAGTTGAAATTTTACATCACCATGTGCAAACAACATAAAACCTGCTGTCTCTAATCCAAAGAAATATGTGGTAAAACTGGGGAGGTTAGCTTTATTGGATCTATACAACTGTACAGGGAAAAACATAAGGTAGCTTATTTCGACAGGGTAACGTGAATCGAAAGATGTCACTGTGACTTTTAGGCTCTGGTAGCTCATTTCGACAGAACACCAGAAGCGCCCCCATGTTCACTTCCCTGGTGAAAAGCAGTGGCTTGCAAGTTAGATACGTCCATTTACATAAACATCGATGTAGAGCACGGCGGTTACCTCGGTGATGGGAAATGCTTGCTGCTGTGTGTCCTCGCTCAGACTGACCACAAAGAGCACGTCTGAGGTGAGGAGAAGACAGCCGGCGTGCTCCTGCCCCGACCCGCTCACGATGGTCACCTCCAGCGCCATGTGCACCTCTGGACGACCCAGAGACTGCAGCATTTTCCTGAACACAGAAAACAGGTTCATTAGACAGGGGTCAGGAGAGATTCATCACACTTTAGAATTATATTACACAAAACTGGCTATGGTTTTGTGATTTGTTACACATTAGAACATACCTCATCGCTACCTCATCACAAACATACCTGGAGTTGTTTTTTGTTTTTTTGAGTATTCCTTTAATATTAATCTATCTCCATTTCCAAAGCTCAAAATACTGTGTTCCACCTTGTGATGTCATGTAACAGTAGTTTTCATGTTCACAACTAGCTTTTTTCCCTTTTGTTCAGTAGAGCTGGGCAAGTCCAAGGCTGAAATTGAAAATGATTCTAGTGAAACTGTTTTGAATATATAATCAAAAATATGTGAACTCAGAAAAGAAGGTTATGTGTGTAAGTATTTTTCTCTAATTTGTAGTAATATAAATCAAAAGTAATGTGTATTGTATTGTATATTTTAGATTTAAATGTAAAACACAATAGGACAGTAAAATTGTAAAGACTAATCGATACCTGGGTTGAGTATTTACATCTAACTTGAAGTTCTCCTGTATGAAATGTCTTGACAATGGTGAGTTTGGCCTAAAATCTTACGTACATTTAATCTACATACCACATATGATTTCAAACTACATAAAACAGCCACTTTGGGAGTCTACAGCATTTGCTCCAATCCACAAAGTGTTGAAGTTTTCCTTGTGGTTTACTTCTGAAAAGTCTCTTGTGTGCTTTGAGTGACAGCAGACATCCACTTAAACTGTTTTTGTTCTTGGCTCCTGAGCGGCCGCCTCACTTCCTCTGCTGTAATGTTTTTACTTCTCTCATGTAAATCTATATTTAAAATACCAGGGTCCTGTGCATGAATTACCACCTTAATTTACATGCACAGTGTAATTTCAAACGTTCTAACTTTAAATGGGACACGTTCTCCTCGAGGTCGGACCACACAGCTACACTCTCGTACACAAGTGACTACATGTGTTGACCTACATCTTGTCATTTGGATATGAATATGCTTGGAGTGGTTTCTATTATGTTCCAGGGACGAGGGAAGTGTTGGGTCCTACTGCAATATGTAAAGTTAATGACAAAAGTTGAAATACAACTTTTGTAAGTACTAGGCCTGTCAGAATCGTTCAATACATGAGTGATTAGACAATCATTTTAGGGGGTCCATGTTTATGTTTTTTAATTTTGATTCTACAGCTCAAATGCTATCATATTACAACTACAAAATAAATAAATAAATAAAAAAAATTAAATGTACACAGTAGCCCCAAAATACACCATTCCAGCTTTCATATATTGAGCGATAATGGTAAATGGTCACATAGTGGTGTGTCCTTGGGCATATTGTGCCCAAGGACACAACAACAGCACTGATCTTTGAGAGCTGGAATCACACCGCCAACCTGTAGGTCAGTGGATCTGACCCCTTAACCAGCTGTAGTTATTGTAAGAGGCCCAGTCCTCCTCTCAGCATATTCATAAGTAAAATGGCAGATTAAATTGTCCACTTCCAAAGCTCCTCATTTATGGTGCATCACAATCGTAATTCAATAATTAGATGAAACAAAATTGGTCAACTAAGACTCAGATTAATCACTTGAAGGACTATAGCCCTAGTGAGAATTAGCAGCTATAGTGTTTAGAGATCGACTGGTATGTTTTTTTCATGGCAGATGCAGATTAGCCTGATTAATCAGCTGTTTTCACTTCATGGAAACCACCTGACCTTGCAGCATTAGGGTTCATTCGCTGAACGGTAGGTGGGTACTTTTTTATTTAATCAATCACTGCTATTTGGTCGTGACGTATGTAATGCGCCGGAATGCTCAGTGGTGTCCAAGTAATTGCCAGCACAACAGCAAACAAAGCAGAGAGTGAACATGTCTGTCAACAATCATTGTCGTTTCTGCGAGGTGAACTTGTGAATTAAAAGTGCATTAAAAAATGAAAAGATTTTATCGTCTACATCCATCTCAACCTCTTTGTTTACTGTTGTGCTGTACCACAAAAGGGACCCAGACAGGCGCTTGAGTTCGACGTCATGGCTTCACAGCTCTTCACTGATCGGCCGGTGCGCGGCTTGCAACTTCCGGGGTTCTTGCAAACCGGCTAGTGTATTCCGATTCCTGACCTAGTAGCTGGAAAGAAATTAAATTGAGCAGAGGCACTAGGTGGTGCCAGCCTGGATAGATATCGATACTAATTGTTTAGAATACAGAGCAACCGATGGCCGATAAAGTCAGCAAATATTTTTTGCCGATATGTAGAGCCAATTTAGATTGTTTTTTACACATTTAATTTAAATTTACTACACACATTCACAGCCCCCCGTTCGGTTCGTTTGCGTTGGTGTGAAAGTGTCAATCGGAGTCGGACCCGCACCAAATCAAGCGGGCCGAGAGTGTTCATATAAAGTTTTGTGTGTATTTTTTACCAGCAGATTGACCAAAGCAAAATATCTATGCTTGAGATTTAAGGCCGGTAGCCAGTACGATAAAAAGTCCAAATCTTGGCCAGCTATATCAGTCTATCACTAATAATGTTTGATCGTACTATCAAAGTGAGAGAACCCCAGTGTTAAAACATATGGACATCCCTCTGCCTCCCCCATCTACAGTGACAGACACAGAGGCGGCCGCACATGCTACATCCTGTAATTTAGACATGTATATGCTCCGAGTGGTTCCTATTATGTTGAAGGGGAGTCCGTGACAGTTTGTTTACACTGGCGGCAGGTGTGTGTGAAGTGCGCATGTGGGAGTGAGAGAGGCGTTTGGGACACTGCGCCTCTGCTCAGTGTTAACCTTTCCAGCGTCTGTGCTACCTGTAGTAGTAAAAATAATTGATGGATGCTTGATGGAAACCAGTTTGACTTGAACGCACCGCGTATAAAGCCACGGGGGAGCATTATCTCAGCATACATATATTTCTATCCTTTTTTCCTTTCTTACATTAGCACACAGTAACCTCTGCCGCGATGACAACTAAAGAGGGAATGTCCGAAAGAAAAATGGACTTTGAAATTTGTGCATATTCATCACATGTTCTGACATACTACTATTAGGGGTAAATGTTTTATAGTCATGGAAACCAAATGCGATGGTGGAAAATTAATTGATAAGCTCTTGGAGACGCCGTGTGTAAATGTGGACATATTTATAATGGGTCCCTGGGAGAGCACACATCCAGATCCTTGGAAAGAGTAAGGCTGGAGTTTGGGCTAATGTTTTATGAGGGTTGTCAATAGTACAAGTTTCCAAGTTATACAAGTGATCAAAAATAACATTTACTCAAGGTTATTTTCATCATTGTTTACTTGATAATTATATATAGCTCATTTGGGAGTGATCTAACTGTCTGTCATCTATTACAGAAAAGATTTCAGGTATCGCAGCATGCATGGTACATTACATACATGCAGATATGATAGTTTGCAGCTAGCAGCCGAAACATGTCAACAAGTTAAATACATCTCCTACTGTATTCTCTTTAAAAAGAACCAAAGAAGTTAATGCAGTTATGATGTTCCAGGATTAAAAGATGCCATCAAATCCTGTGGCAGTGACGTTGTATATGTATCCAACATCTACCACTACAAGTTATGTGGCAGGAGCCTAAATATGAATGTTTACAGTTTGCATTTATTTACATAAAGTACCATTCAATATTTGGAGTATCATTGTAATTATAAAAGATCCCCTCTCCACCACATCAATGGGCTTCTTGAGGCCTTCTTTATTCAGCAGTTGACCCACTGAGCAGCTACTATTCCCCAATACAGTAAACTAACAAGAGTATTTGTTGAGGAATGCAGAATGTAACCTCTGTTTGCCACAACTTTTTCCAAACTGTTTCCAGCTCGTTCAAAAGGAAAGGTGTTTTTCCTCATCTTCCATATCTGGACAAACTCATATTTAAACAACAAGAACAAGCGTTCGCTGGCGGCTTTGGCACAGCGCTTACAAAAACCTTTTAACATGGCTCTTTAAGAAGCAGAGAGGGCAGCCTGGCTACCATCTGTGGACCAGGGTCAAACTACACTCCAGATTTCCCTGTTTTTTCATGGCGAGTAATGATCCCTCCAAGGCTCTCTTAAACAAGACAGCAGAAATGATGAGCGGAGGACGGATGAGAAAGAGCAGCAGATCCTGGACAAGGCCCAAGTAAAGCAGAGGGGGAAACACATGGATCACTGCTATAGGATGGGGCTGAGGCCATGGTTTTTAAAGCAAGTATGGCATTTATTTGGTAAAAGAACTGTTAAGATTAAAATTAATTCAAATATCAAACCTATTTTGTATTAAGCAAGAGGCACTCAAGTAATCAATAATAGTATTCTGAATAAAGTATGCTATAAGTTAGATTGTAAGTGATCCTCTGGGTGATTGAGAGAAGGATGAAATTATGCTTAAAGGGCCCATATTAAGCTATTTTCGGATCTATGTTATGTTTTTGATGCTTTGGGTTGTAGTGGAGTTAAAAATAGTAGCATTGTAGCAGGTTAAGAACATCACAAATACTACAGTATCATGGTAGTTGATATGATAGCTCTTACCAGACATATTTGAGGTGGCTGTTACGAGCCTGGGCAGACTTCTCCTCTATGGGCAGGTACAGCTGCTTTGGGAGCTGCCACAGTCCTGCTCCGTGAAGGATCCCTGTAAAATATAATGATGAGGAAAAGTTCATTTAGGAAAACCTGATTTAACCAGTGACTTGTGTCAGTGTTAGTTCATAAGCCATGTGCTCAGTTTGACGCGTTTCCTCCCAAAAGCAGCAGCATTGAGCCAATGAAGTCATCGTAGTTAACATGGCCATAAAGAACATACAAAACATGATGTAAGTGCTGTGTACTCCAGTATTTTGAATGAGGCGTAATGTGTATATACTGTACTTCAAATACAAGATGTAAGTTATTTAGAGCTTACAGTATATACAACAAGGGCAGTCAATCAGTCAAACCAGTGATATTGCCAAAACAAAAGGGAATACAATGTGTCACACTACCTCAAATAATATCAGTCAGCAAAATATTAAACTATCGGAAATTCTAGTAGTAACTGACCTCTGATCTATGTCAATATACAGTAGATCTTAATTAGAGCTTTGTTTAACCAAAAATAAGCATCATCATTGTCCCAAAAATGCAAACACTAAACAACAAAGAGCATATGTGCAGTTAAGCTACAAGCAGCTGGTTGTGCAACAGATTTTTTTGTTTAAAGAGGGGGAATTTTACTTCTATGGGGTATTAACTGCTAAAACAGAGCTTATTTAGATTACCATCTTAACTTTTAATGTTTTGAAAATTATATATTTGCCAAAAACAATGTATTAAAAGTTTTGTGCGTTTGAAAGTCTCCCCTCCCATTGCTCTACACACTAATCACTCACTTCAGAGTGCAATTACAACACAATCGGCGTGCTTCTCGCTAATGAAACGACTGCACATCTCATCAGGTTTGTCAAGTTTTTGTGTACAGTTTTGTATCATGTCTTTGTGTATTTATGGAGAATTATTGTGTGGGAGCATGGATGGCGAGGGTTGTGGACTGAGCATTGCATCTTACAAGTATATGAAGGGTTCGAATAGCGCCAGTAAAGCTAAAAAAAATATATATATATATTTTGCATAATTGACCCATATTTTTGTACACAATAGTTATTGGTTTTAGGGCAGCAAAAATGAATTTCTGCTGTAGTTCACTGAGGAAAAAAAACATAGTAATAAGTTATCTAATAAAAAAAATATTATTAAAAAAATGACAAAGTCATCCAGAACAAATTTGGATTCAATAATCCGACAAGCGCAGAAAGATTGTTAGTGGACCTCTGGTAGTTTCCCATGCTGCCTCCCACATTACAATAAAACTAACTGTAGTGGAGTTGTGTTATTATTGTTCATGTAAAAGTAAGTCTGGGGGCTTCTGGCAGCTCTGGTTGGCTCTGCAGTTCACAGCATTAAAAACAGAGAAATGAAAGGTGATACTGTGGAGATTGCCCGTGCACTGACAGATTTATGACTCCACTCACTGTAGCTCCTATTGTGTTGATTCGAATGTTGTGGCCTCAGGCTCAGTTGTATAGAAGTTAATGAGGTCTTGTACTTTAATAAATCTTAGACCTTTATAGATTTTAAATTGTGCATGACCAAAAATCATTGTGTAGGTGCTTGCATTATAAAACAAACGTCATTTGGACTGATTTCATCCTGTAAAATTAATCTAAGTTGATATCTCAACGGGATAATTTATGAACTTGTTAAATGTGCTTCAAACATTATTTCATTTGTTAGGCCACTGGAGCAACGCAGTGAAAATAGTGGTACGTGTAATGATCGTTGAGTGAAATGTCCTGGACTGACCGTATCCAGTCTGGGACACCAGCTCAGCCGCTCCTCCGATGGGTTTGGTGAAAACTCCCACAATGCCTTTCCCCACTCCGGAGATGACCCCTTTGGCTGTGCTCCCGGTTGAGCTCTGCAGCTCCCAGTTCCTCTGGAAGTTCTGCATGGGCTGGTCCACGATGCCAGCTATGGCTCCTGCACAAACAATATTCAGCAGGCTAAAAAAATGTCTTACAACATATAAAACATGTAAAAGGTTGAACCACTTGTTATGCAGCCACCTAGTAACAAAACTGAATCCTTCTTCATTTTGTTTGTCTGTATTTATTTATTTGAGCAGAAGGGACAGAGCATTCTCAGTCTCAGCTCCCAAAGTGTGGAACATTCTCCCTCTCTACATCTGAGCAGTACTTCTCTTAAATATATTTAGTGTATTAGCATATTAGCGTATAATGTTATGTCTATTATATCTATTAGTATTAGTGTATAGTGTTTTACTAAACCCGTGAAGCACGTTGGTCAGTCATGGTTGTTTTAAAACTGTATACAAATAAATGTGATTGATTTTCTAAATCAAATTGCGCTAGCACAATTAGCATTAGCACTACTCATTTACAATTACTATCACAAAAAACAAATACACATAATATAGGGGAACAGACACATTTTGGTACATTCGGAAAAGAAAAAAATATCTGTTGAGTCCACAGTATTGTTCCTATGGTGTTATTCCTGATGAGTCCGACAGAGCATCTCTGTCTGAGTAACAGACCCTGGTGTAACAGAGCCTGAGCAGCTGTGTAGTGTCACAGACACTGTCTCTGTGAATGGAGTTTTACTGTTTCTGTGTTTATGGGGTCCCTGCTGAGCTGTCTCCACCGCTCTCTCTCTGAGCGCTGTGGGCGGCTGTCTGAGGTCGGTACTATACAATACGTATAGTCATATCACATGACCTAATGTTAACTAGTAAAAAAACCTAAATCATACTTAAAATCTAAATCCAACTTTACTAATGAGGTAAATGCTGAGCTTTGTCTCATTCGCAAGCTTACGTGAAAGATTTGATGGATTAGACCTGAGCACATATTATCTACATCTGTCATTTATCTACATCTTTACTTAATATGGACTGTGTTGGCTGATAATTTAGCCTGAATAGATAATGAAGCTTGAATTGCTACTAAATATTATAACTACTGCTATATAAAAACACATTTATTTAAAGGTGCACTATATAACTTTTCTGCATGATTTCATGGAGATTGGATTAGAATGTTTTACAGTAGGGAATTTAACTGAACCACATGATTTATCCCTAGGCATTTTATCGGTGGATAATGTTTTGTCAAACAAATATGAGTAAAGATGTTTAAAGTACATTCATGCTGAGCCACAGACCTAACAGGCTGATGCCCAAACGCGACAGCCCCTGTCTGAGCCCGTCTCCCAGGCTCTCAGGCAGCTGCCTCCTCCACTCCTCCTGCCTCGTGTAATGCTCCTCGTCCAGGGACAGGCGGTCCATGTTGCGGGCCAGGCTGGTTGCCAGGTTGGTGATGGAGGTCAGTGTGCCTAGACAGAGATCAGGTGTCATGCTTAAATTCAAGCTCAAACCAGTGCTTCAAGTTACAGATTTACCAGGACAGGATCACAGGATATTTTTCAAATCAGAAATGCCAAATGCTTACAGTGGACTCTGAACAAATGAATGCTAATCAATTTGAATGGTGGCTTTAGAGGTTTCACGGTGAACAGTGACATTGTTCCTTATGGCTTTTCACCTCTGGGGTTGTCACATCAGATTACATACTGTATTTCCTCTGTGGCTTTGCATATCAATTTTCAGATTAGGTTTTTATGAAGAACATGTTTTCTAAAGCATTCAATAAATCCAATCAATTTAGATGGGACATGCACAACGTACGGGCTGTGGACATTGTGTGGTTGGTCATAAGGTTAACTTTATATAAAAAAAGATTAACAACAACAACCACAAGTTAGACAGTAGCACCTCGTACACATTTAACTTATAGTATTCAGACAAAGAGTTTAGATTTCCTTAGTCTAGTACTCATTGGGCCTATTGTTCCTGGTGCAGAACTGTTTATGTTTATGTATACAATATATATTAATTCCACAACTGTTATTATATACCATTATTTAAAATAATAGGTAAAAAAACTAAATCAAGGTAATATAATGGGCCCTGTATCGTAATGTAAAACTTCAAAAATATCATGAGCTTTCCCTATTTGAAAGACAACCAGCCGCCACTGACAAGGACACTCAAGCCGCCATTCTTTAATGTCCCTGTTTAGTTGAATACAAACCTTTGGAGATGTGTTTGACAAAGGAGGTGGTTCCCCGGGACACTCCACTGACGAAGGCTCCGGGGCCACGGGTCAGTCCCTCGTACGGCAGACGGAAAAAATCTGACACACCATTACCAATGCTCCGCACCAGACTGGCAGGACTGCCCAGGATCTCCAGGGAGCCTACCACCCAACCTGGAACACAGAATCCAATATGTACAATTAGGCCTGTCACAATAACACATTTTGAAGTTTGATATATTGTTGAGGAAAATGTAGACGATAAATGATAATATTGAAACTAATTTATGCCACTGACACAAAAACCTAAGAGCAGATTTATACTACAAAAACTATTCGAAATATACAATACTGTTAAAATATCCTGAACTGCAATAAATTAATAGAACAAGCAAACACTTTGGTACTTATTTTGCATCTGTAATGAGTCATAGAGGTTACTAATTCAACCTTTTGCGTCTTAAATGAGATCATGTATCCAAAAAAATAACCTAAAATTTCCCAGTATTGCAAAGAAAATGTATACACAACAAATATTAACTCCCCAAAAGTATTAGTCCATCTTTCATGTATTGTATGTATGCGCAATTATGAATAATTTGCTAACATTTTTCTATGATTTAGACACAGATAATCTGGGGGCTTCTGCACAATGGACAAAGCCCTTTCTTTAGTCTTAATTTGCTTCATAGTAGCTCAAAGCTTCTAAAAAAGTATTTATTTCAGGGATAGTGAATATTAATGAACATTTCAGTAAATATGCCAGAATTAGCCATGAAGGCAATTTTTCATCTGTAGTCCCATGACAGATGTTAAAGTTGGCCTAAAAAAAACAAAAAAAAAAAAGGATAAGATAATAAAATAAAAGCATATACTTTTGCACTGGTTTATTCCTGGTTAATTCAAAGTGAAACCTTATTTTTGTTCTGGTTTAGTCATCATGTTAAATTATTATTATTATTATTCAGGTTTTGACTTGGTTTAACCCCAGTGTTGCACCTTAACTACTCCAACATGTCTTATTCTCTTGATATAAAAGCCAGTCCAACACACCTGCTCCTCTCAGAAACATTCCACATTCAGTATGAGCCCCGTGGGTCCAATCACACCCTGTACCTCAACTCTGCCAACTGCAGTTAATGTTGGGAGGCAGCCCCAATAAAAACATTCACAGAACAACACGCACAGCTATTTACATCATCAATAATATTCTGCTCAGTCTATTTATTTGCTTTCCAAATGACACAAAACATCACAAAACGACCTTGTGTTGAATCACTTTTGCACACATTTGCTTATGAATTCAAGCATGTGGAAATGTACCGCCTTTGACTATCCCTCCCTCTCTCGCTCGACCAGGCTGCACAGTCCCCTTTAGAGATACCATGGCTCATTGATATTTATGTCCTGACAATTGCATCACAAAAATCAAATGGCCATTTTTCAAGACGCCAAGGTCCGGTTCTGCTCCAATATCCGCGTCAATTTGCCTTTGAGTGATGGGAGGGAAAGCAGCTCTGGTGGGGCCTTAGTGGTCGATCTGGCTTTGCATGGTCTTCCAGTTGTGGTTTTGGTAAAGCACTAGGCCCTGACAAGAGCCGCTGTTTACTGGACTGACTCATGCTTTTAAAAGCTTTGTTCATGTACATTGCAGATCTGCCTATGTGAATCCTTCGCACATGTACACTACGAGTCAAAAGTTTGGATCCATTCAATGTTTTTTTTCTACATGTTTACTATTTTCTACATTTGATATACATACAGCAGACAGCAAACATATGAAGTAAGATGTATGGAATCATTTAATAAAGGAAAAAAGTTAATATATATAGATATATATACTAGTATATATACATATAGAAAAAAACATGAGTGAGATGGTGTGTCCAAACTTTTGACTGGTAGTGTATGTATTACCTTGCATTCTTTGTAGCGTCTTTGAGGGTAAGGGTAAGTAAGTAAGTAAGTAAGTAAGTAAGTAAGTAAGTAAGTAAGTAAGTAAGTCTTTATATAGCACTTTTCACAGAAATTTTTTGTCCACAAAGATGCTTTACAGAGCATTATTCAGCATTATTCATTCGCTCTATACCTGGTGATGGTAAGCTACTATTGTAACCACAGCTGCCCTGGGGCAGACTGACAGAAGCGCGGCTGCCATGCCAATCGGCGCCAGGGTTTACAAAAGCGCTATATAAATAATTGTATAAAACTGTATAAAATGTATTATTATAATATAATTATTATGTTCCAACACAAAAGAGTAGGTTAAGTTTTAGCTTATTTGTGTAGGCAAGATTCAATCCACTTTCAGTCTAGTTGTACAAGATCATGGTAAATGAAATTGAATATTAATTTTCATTATCCATCCAACAATTTCAACATCTTTTATAATGGCAACTTGTACTTGTCTTACCTGCATACCAGCAAACATAATCCTAAAAAAAGCTAATCATTCCCAGCATGCATAGAGTCCAGCAGCCCGTGAGTCTGTGATAGCTCAGTAGAGAGGAGAGTGACGCGTTGAAATACGAGCAGATTTGGGTGCTCTAACGAGAGGCAGCGGGAGACGCGTCCGGCCAGAACGGTGATTTTTGATGTGGGGATGACTGTGTTAAATCAGAACATGTGTGGGGGCTTCAGGAGACAGGACGACAGAGCAGAGGGAGCAGAAGGGAGAGCTGAGTCGCACGTACACGATGGGAATAAGGCAGGCCTGGGGAGTGAGTCACTAGCCGGTGATAAAACGATCAGTGCTCAAATCTCAATCTCCTTAAGGCCTCCAGTGAGTCTGTCTTATTTCCTGGAGATTAAGCAGTATTGGTCACTAAGCAACATGAGCACATGGTCAGAAAGGTTAAAATTGCATAAACAGAAAAAAGTATACATTTTGTAGTTCAATACGAGGTTAAATGTTAGATCAGTGCTTCCATTATAGTAGATATGGGCCCAAAGTAAAGTGTAGACTGACTGTCCATTTTTGTGTGAAGATGCACTGTGTTAGGCTCCAAGTCAAATGAAGCCCAGGCTAGCGGTTACACCAAAGACTCCAGGATCATGTAGAGCAGATTAATATGAACATTTTAAGATCAAAATGATGAGGCTCACTGTAGCAGTTAAAGAGAGAGGGGCGACAATGTTTCAATATGAAGTCAACTGAAGCCAGAGTCTAAGGAGCCAGGAAAGCCCTCATGTTCACTTCCTATTTGGAATGGCCTGGCTAGCAGGTTAGCTATGTCCATTTATATATGTAGTCTATGCTTAAAACATAATAACAGATAAAATGGCTATGACAGATTGTGGGACAAGGTTACCACTAACTGTGGTGAAATGTTGAAAAAAGGGAAAGACAGCACTTAAAAATATTTTCTAGTTACATCATACTTGATGTGCATCTCCCTGGACCCACCTGCTCTGAAGAGTGCTCCTGCAGCATAGTGCATGGCCAGAGCGTGCACCAGCTGTCGGGCAGTGGTGAAGAGCGGCCCCCTCTCAAACAGGGAGAAGGACAGAGGCGTGTGGTCTGATGCGATGTACAGCTTCAGAGAGGCGTGGATACTGACTAGGAGGTGCACTGGCTCAATGGTCAGTTTCTGTAGCCGCACAGGGTGGACCAGAGCCTGCACTGACTGGACAACCTGGGGAATAAATCAACAATAAATCAACAATTCAATAGTGACAATTTGATACATACAATTACAAAAGGGCATCTACTATCAATATCATCAAACTTAAACTTTTGGAACTTATTTACTATAGTTTTTGGTACATTATAATCACCCATTTTATTCCCTGTTATTTTTGAGACATCTAAAAGGCAGGCTGAGGAACACCGTATTTTTCTGCTATGGATGTAGTGTACAAGAGCTGGTGTTGGCAATTTAGTCTGGGTCATTTAGTGCTTTAGAAATTTAGAGTTTAAAATCTTTAAAATCAATCTCAAGTGTATTCCAAACTAAAACACTTCCCAAACTTCTTTTGGTGTAAGAATAAGTTGCGGTCTGTTGTTTTTCGAGAAGACCACTGAGAACAGCATTATAATGGTCAATTTTAGTAGTAATGAATGCCTGGATTAGATTCTCAGTATCCTTCTTATTTAAAAAGGGTCTAATTTTAGCAGTGTTTTTGAGGTGATAAACTGTTGCTTGAGTCACTTTGGTTACATGGACATTAAACTTTAAATCATCATTGAGAATTACCCACCAACATTAGGTTTGACCCTTTCAAGCAAAACTCACAGGTTTGCAGTTACCTTATCCCTATTAGTTTTTGGCCCAACGGTAAGTATTTCTGTTTTTTTTCTAATTCAGTTTGAGGAAATTACTGTTCATCCATTCATTCGCTGCTGGAAGACAGTTTCTGACGGATGATATGGCTTCAGTTTGATGGGGCTCTGTTGAGACATACAACTGTGTATAGTCCACATAGTTGTGAGAGGACACATTGTACTCTCTGATAATCTAGCCAAGAGGAAGCATGAATGGGGAAAAAGCAAAGTAGCAAATTATTGTAAGCTATATAATGTATTACAACAATGATATGTTTTCAAACATGTACAGTAAGAAATTAATATTCCCCAGCAAAACATCTTCTCATGAAAATGACAAGGAATAAAAATTATAAAAATACAAGAGGAGCATACTGCCATTACTATGCAAAAATACATGCGTGGATATATTGATCATACATTTAAACTTTTTTAAAGCCTTCATTTAAATATAGTCACATGAAAACATAAACTTTATTTTGTCTACTTTTTCCTCTTTTGACTACAGAGTACCAGGCAATCTGTAACCAATTGGTTGCCCACACTGCGGCATTGTGCAGTCGTCTGGTATGTCTGGCCTGAACTGAATGTGCAGCTGCAGTAATGATGCCGTAACTACCTCATCAGGACCCAAATTAGAGCATGATCTCACGGTGTGCACCTGTTGTGGGACTCCGGGCGCAGGTCCAAGCCTCTCCGTGCTGCTCCTCTCTGCTGCTGCTGGGATGTACGTGTGGAACAAAGTCTTGATGTAGTAAACAAAGGTGTCTTCGAGGTAGACTCTGGCCGGCTGCAGATGGAAAATGACCTGAGGACAAACACAGAGTGCTGTGATTAGTGTTTTATATTCAGGGTTTAGGTAATGCCTTTTTAAGATCTTTAAAGCAGGGGAGCAAAAGCAAGTGGTGTGTTTAAACAAATGGAAAAACACTAAAGAGGACTTCTGTGGATTATCTGGCTTCACTTTACTGTCAAATGTACAATTCCATAGCTGCCATTTTTTAGGTGCACAGGGGTCCAAAAGGTTTTGAAACATACATAAAAAATAAATAGATAAATAAAGTGCACTATTTCTTTTCATTTCTGACTGTCATCTTTGACAGAGGAGCCCAAAATCTTACTGTTATGCATTTAAAGCAATAAATATATTAGCTAAGCCATTTTACTTGATAAAAGTATATATTTTGTATACTTTTATCATGTAAAATGGCTTAGCTAATATATGTATTGCTTTAAATGCATAATATTAAGATTATGACTGTAGTGGATACGTGGTCCCTCATACACAGTACCTCTTCTATTGTACATGAGTCTGCAGCCAGGTTGACATGGAGAGTCAGAAAACAGGAGCATTTGAACTCCTCCAGTGACTCAGGACTGTCAAAGGGGTCCGTGTCACTGCTCCAGAGGCCCCCACTCTCCGCTGCCCCCCGCTGGTCCTGACACAGCAGCACAGGGAAGTGGAAACTGGCCCGGTTGTATAATTGGTTGTCCACTTGCAGACTGGAGCAATAAACTTGGACCACAGAGCCATCGGATATTAGGGGAGAGACAGAGGGAGAGTCTGCACTCAGGTCCTGTAGTGTGTCTGTGGATAACAGGGCAGGGGCAGGGTTTGTGGGTAACAGGGCAGGAGATGGGGACAAGCTCAGGAGCAGTTTGGTGAGAGTCAGTCTGAGCAGCTCCACTGAACCAGACGGGTTTGTGATGTCATCATTCAGGACCACACTAGCTTCACTCAGCAGCACTCTGAAGGACAGCCTTGGACTCCTGAGGGGAAAAAGCAGCAAATTTAGTCCAAATAATAAAACAACAACAAAACAGAATGTTTTCAATCTTCTAATTTATAGGCCTTTTACGGAACTTGTGATTTGTAGCTTGGCATCACAAATCATGAAAATATGTAAATGTAAATATGTAATCATTTATGAAAACATTCTTAAAACGAAGTTTCCAAATTTACAGTAAAGTAATTAAGCATTTAATTAATGCTTAATTATGCATTAAAAATTGATTATTGACCAATAATAATTTTATTAATTTTAGATATTATATAATTTTATATATTATATAATTATCAATTATTACATTTGGAATGTTTTTCAAAATCTTAAATAAAAGATTTTTATAAATATTTACATTTTGATTTAGTCCAATTTGAATTAATACTGAAAGTCAATGCAACTTTATACACATATTAAACATAAATTATATGTTTACTAATGGCCAAGTGTTAGCAGACTTTTTATAGCTTGTTAAACTAATTTGCAGTGCAGTCAACAAACAAGTATTTTTACATGCTGAGTGTGAGATGTTGGGATTGTGTCTCCTTAGGAGCGGTTTGTTCACCTGTTTGCTGTTAGCTGATGTAGTTTCTAATAGATTCCTCCCTGATGTAATTTGTTTACATTCAGCTAATATGTGATTATTCTAATTCCCTGTTCTGCCAAATGACAAAGTAGCAACGTGTTGATGTCATGGAATAAAGCTGTAAGACTGATCTACTGTATTACTAATTTCATTTATGACAGCACCGGAGCTTTTATTGCCCTCCTGTGGCGAAAATGATGTGTGTTTCTTCAGTGTTTGGAGTTTAGTAACAACTGCTGCATGTAAAAAATAATCATAAAGCAATTTGGGCACGGAACATAAAAAGACACATGCGTAGATAGCTGTAGGTTAGGCATACCACATGTTTTATTGGTAAAATATGTCAGAAGCATAACAAGCAGAAAAAGAGCGGCTAGTGCATGAGCAGTACCTGCTGTGTGGGTAGATTACAGGGTCCATGCTGCCCTCTGGTGCAAAAGACAAGACCAGAGTCCCCCTCTCATAAGACACATGAATGTAGAGGCAGCCAAAGCCCGCCAGGAACACCACCTGCAACAATAACACACAAGGTGAGATCAGAAATAATGAGGGAGCTTTGGGATCAGGAGAAAGAGCTGAGAGCAATTAAGGACAGCATACACCGATCAACATTATGACTGCAAAGTTAAGTAGGTCTTTGCTCCAGGAACAAAGCTAAGGAAGTTTGTTTAGTCTAGTTTAAAGTTTGTAAATGTTGTATTTATAAAAATAATAATAATAATTATAATAATAATAATAATAATAATAATGCTTTACACTTGTAAGGCACTTTAATGGCTTGGCAAGCCCCTCAAAGTTATGTAGTCATAATTCATTCACTTCAAACTGAAGGTAATCTGCTATTCTAGCAGCCCCTCCAAGCCCCACCAACACTCACTCACACATCACTTTCATACTAAGTAAGTGTTTTGTCGAAGGACACAATCACAGAACTTAAGAAATGATCTGACCTTCGGGTTGCTGTACCCACTGGGACACTGGCGTCCCAACAAATTATACAATAATTCATACAAAAATGATATTTAAATATAAATACATCCACTTTGTATTACATCCATCCTACTTGTGACAGATTAAACATGCCCTCTTGTGTCCACTGTGTAACCCGTCATAAACAATACATAAACATGCTTCTAGGCATGCTGCACGATTTTGGGGGAAAACAGAAACCAATTTGAGATAAAAGACAAAAATATGAATAGCTAAAATAATATAATAAAGGTTTCCAATGTTTACCCCCCCAACAGTTGAAACTGAAATTTTGATTTGATTATGATTAGTATAGCCCAAAATCTGAAAATATTACATATATGAGTTCCAGAGCGATTAAAAATTAACTGTGGGTGCAGCAATAAACAGTTAAAAATATTGTGTCTTGAATGATGAAAAAAGTACTGGCACCTAAAAACAGGAAGCTGAACCCGTGAAAAAAGGTTAAATTAAATCCTCTTAGACAATCCACTCAGACCATAAAACTTAATATTTACTCAGTTTCAAATCTCTCGAACAGACCATAACCTGCCTCCCTCAGGTTCAGAAACCAACTCCTCGTGTGGAGCAAAAGGAAGCTGATCTGTGCTGCACACTCCACTGCACAGTCACAACAGCACTGACCTTTGACCTTTCACCTGACCCACAGAGGTCACAGACGAACCTCGCAGTAACCAGAGATACACAGCCTGGCCTTAACTTTAACCCGGGGCTGAGTAGACGCAACAGTAAACATTAGCTGCTCCGCTCGCTAACATGAGGATAATTCAACACTACTGCGAAATAGAAAAACATGGCTGCCCACAGTGGGAGGCAAAGCACATGAGATTCCAAGTTTAACAAACACTTAGATGCAATAATTAATGATTGTGGGAAAATAAGTAGAGGATTTGTTCCAGTGTAAGCACGATGCCAATCTTTAATAGCTGAGATTCATCAAAGCAGGATTTACTGGCTGTGGCACTGAATAAATCTATCACAAGCGTTATATTGGTTGTTTCTGTAATGAGTTTTGCAGTTGATGTGAAACCAAAACATTGGAATGATGAGATGTAAAAGCCTCTGACTTCTTCCCATAACTGACAAACTGGTGAACAGTTTTTAATTATTTGCCACATTCACAGTGAATAATCAGTTACAATTTGTAAAGCATTTTAAAGGTGCATTGTGTAACTTTTCTGGTGGAGGGTCAGCCTGGGATGTTCCGCAGTATAGCATTAAAGAAATCTATCTTGCTTTTATTCAGATAGAGGAGTTTCCGGTTTCTCGAAACTACCACAAAAACATGCATTCTTACTGTGAGCGGGTCTACTTCTCTTCAGATGATGTAGAGATCATTAAAATAAATGCCATACTGTAGAACAATCCAGGAAAATACAATTTATGCAATCAAGCAGGTGGTGGATCCTCTGCCAGAAGAGTTATGCAATGCACCTTTAAAGTTGAATGGGATAAACTAATCCTAATAAATGTCTGTTTATGGAAAAACAAAGGAAGAGGCTGTAAACTGTTGACTTTTGGTGATATTGTCTATGGTTCTTGCTTTACCTGAGTGCCTGGGCAGTTGACGTCTATGGGATCGGTCCAGTCTGGTGTGCAGTGATCTGAAGTGGTCTTTAGCTGCAGACTGGGCAGTGCATCTTTCTGTCTACACTCGGGGAAAGTGGAGAAGTGGTGGTACAGCTCATGGTGCAGGGAGCTATTGGCAGGCAAAGGAAGGCAGTAGATCTCAGCCCTGGGAGTCTCTAAACGTACCAAATGTAAATAACATTTTAGTTGCAGGTTTTATAAATGGTTTTGTATTATGTCCAAGTCCAGTCCATTCCTACCTTTACAAGTCTCTTTTAGTAGCAATGGGATGGGGCACTTGTTGTGGATGATCATACGTGGGCAGGGGTCTTCATTTAGTGTAATGTATGTCACCCCGAGGTGCTCCTGATATGTCAGCACTACAGCTCTGCAAAACAAAATATAAACAAAGCCATAAATATAAATAGAGAGATAAGACACATCCCAGCCCAATAACCACATGTAGATAAGAGTCCCACACCCACCACACCAAGTCACCACACTGACCAAATCCCTCTGAGGCCAGACCAATCATGAGGCACACGTTATTGTGGGTTTGTGTCCAGCTGATGTGTACACAGTGCTACAATAAAACAAATTAGTGGTCAAGTTGTTTTATTATATCTAAAATTGTGCCAATAGCTTAATGGTCCTATATTACACAAAACTGACTCTTGATAGCTTTTAGTCATGTTTGAATGTTGTTACCTAATCAAAAACATACCTGGAATTGTGTTTTTTTTTTTTTTTTTTAAATTCACACATGTTTGGGTAATCCAAAACTCAAAATGCTCTGGTCCACCTTGTGATGTCATGACGTGGTAGTTTTTAAGATAAAAGCTCACTTTCACCTTTAGTTCAAAGAGACTGGCAATTACAGACCTGAAATCATCCAAATAATTCTAGTGAAAGTGTATGGAGTTAAAAGACACCAGGGAGCACTTCCTGTATCACCACATGACATCACAAAGTGGAATAGAGTGTTTTCTGTTTGAGAAAAAATGTTTTTGATGAGGAAACAACATTATAACATAAAAAAATAGCATAATGCAGCCTCTTCAGTGTGGTTTTTGTGTGAAATGTGGCAATGGTCATTGAATCAAAATAGAACAATAATGCCTTTTGTTCTGTTTGTGTGAGACTTTTAAATGTTGAAACAGTTACATTGCTATTTTGGTTATTGACACTCACATGTTATTTTCTCATGTCATATTTTTATGTTTAGACCTGTATTTTTATTAACTTTGCTACAAATACTTTAGATGATACGAACACCTGTTCTCTTTTTGTAAAGGCTGTGATGAAGTAAAAAAGTGCATTAAATGGACACACAAGATAAGTTAGGAGCAGCTAAGCCCGATCCAGTGCTGTGGACCAATATTGAGTCTGACAGTGGAAAGACTGAGGGCATTTCTCTGTGTGCTTCAGAGCCAGACTTTAACAAGCTGTGACCGCTTACAGTGCCTTGTCTCCTCACTTCTCATGCCAGCTAAGAGCTCGGCAACCTGCTCTAAATGGACTGTCCCCGCCAGAACAACCGCACATGTTCCACTGCACCCACCTGCTGCTCGGGCCACCCCAAGAGTCCACTTCCCCGGGCACGGCCACACTGAGGCGGGGCAGGTCTGGGCGCACTGGGGCGGGCAGGCTCCACTGGGAGGGTGCGGGCTGTGGGAGGAGACTGAAGAGCATGTGTTTGAGAGGCAGAGGGAACGCCACACTGCCCTGGGCTCCAGTGTGGAGGAGGTCCCAGCAGGGCACAGAGCAAGCTCTGTCCCTAGATGCTGGCTCACAGGGAGGCAGGGTGAGCATGGAGCTCTCTGGGATCTGACAAACCTGGGATAAGAGAATATGTGGAAAATGAAGAGCTTTTACATTGCAGTGCTGTGTATTTTATACTTTCACTGTGTAAAAAATATGTTTTTTGTTTGTTTTTTTTCTTCTTTTTGGCTATTTTATTATTACGCTGGAAAAGGTAGAAACACCACAGGTGTTTGTTGCATCTCCACAAATTTGACTCTTAGGTGGAAAATGTTGTTCCTTTGGCTATAATATTCCACAGACTGGCATTCAATTCATCTAACTACATGAAGGATATTTTAAACTTTTATATTTCCATAGAAACAGCCAGGTGACATGCCACCTTCAGAAAGCTGCTGTCGCTTTAAAGAATGACAAACAGAACTAAAAAAGATATATGTGTAAGCTGTGTTGTTCAGCCTTGGGTTAAACAAGGTAAAGGGAGACATGGGACAGAAAAAAAATGAGATTTTAGGAAGAGTCCTCGACCAAAGTGACAGAGAGGAGGATTTGAGAGCAGAGATGTCAGAACAAAAAGATTCCAGTGATTACAGCAAAAGATACATGGACATGGAAAACCACATTATTATACTACTCTTTCTTTCTCCCACTAAGCTTAGTGCTAAATTGGTAGCAGGGAAGTCCTACTGCGCTGGTTTAGCATCCAGTGAGCAGGGATTAGGCACTAAGCATGATGAATAGGGCAAATATAAAAGCATTCCTGTCCTTGTTTGTGGTCTATGTTATTGTTAAGGCCGGTGCCTGTTATTTAGAGCTTCTTTTTAAGGTTTTTCAGTCAATTAGCGGCAACTGGCAGGCCCCATAGTAACCATTTCTAAAGGGATCTGAGAGAAATGACATCACTGTATTGTTGCGCTCTTTGGGGACAGGCAGCAGATGAAAGCGAGAAGAAAAACCTGTATCCAATTCTGGGTGTTTGTCTAATGTCCCTATGAAGTGCCATTGCCACATGGTTGGAGAGAAAGGGGGAGCACCGTGATCTTATGGAAAATGGCTTGCTACATCTCTGCAGCAAGTTAGACTTCCATTGGGAATCAAAAGACAGAATGCAGGCCTTTATAAATACATGGAAACATAGACAAAAGCCTGGCCTTATGGTTAGCGAGGTAGCACAGCGGTATTTAACAAGAGACGTAGGAATCTTTGGTGTTTGGGAGAATTGGTGCGAACAGATAAGCCAGAGGGAATAAAATACTGGCCTTGTCAAGGAGGAAAACTTGCGTGTTTGTATTGTACATGGTGCCAACTCAAACAGTTGTTTTACATCTTTAAATAAATGGAGTAACAGTTAGAAAAATAACATGGCCTGACAGCACTGCCATCAATTCATTAGTCAAAGAAGACATATATGAACCCTTGCAAAACTTCCCTTTGAAACTTATTGCATTTTTGTCCCCTGGGAGGTAGAAATGAAGATGATTTAGTGCATATTCGAGAAGAGGGAGAGTGTTTTTGAGAGTTACCTGGTCGTCACTTCCCAGGGAGTGCTTTGTCAGCAGAGGTCTGTACAGTACAGTGTAAGAAGTGTTGTTCACCAAAACTGTCCTGTCCTCGATTAGAAGGATTTGGATGCCATGTCTTACAACTGAAGACACACAAAACTGGCAGAGCTTGAAAAAAAAGAGACACAAAAAAGACACAAATGAATTATATAGCTTTGAAATCAGTCTCATCACTAGGGAATCTTTTAAGGGGTGCATAAATTTGTCCCTTAATCGACTACACATGTTTAAAAACAAACAATGCAAATGCTATTGTCCCCAAACTTCACTTTTAGAGGGATTACATGAAGTTTTGACATTAACAATTGTTGCACTTATTAACAACAGATGGCGCCGACGTGCTAGAAATATGTCTCCAAAACAAACAGATTAGGCTAAATTTGAAGTGACAGATAGATTTACGTGTCCTTATAGGGGAAATCTGTTGTTTTACAAAATCATGGTACATCCTCAAAGTCCATAACTGGGACTAATAAACCTTGGTTATAGTACATCTCAGTCTGCCCCCCAAACCATGAAAGGAGGTAGTAGGTCTTAAATTATATCCAACTGGTTCCCATTGGCACATAGTTAGTATTCACATGCATGACATTTTGAGCATGTTTCTAACTGCTAACTTTAAATACATTTACTGTAAGTTGCTGCTGCCAAATTGTGAATTTTCTTCGGGATCAATAAAGTATCTATTTATCTATAAGAACAACTTTTTCTGAAAGCAAAGCAAAAGTGGACCGTCATTCACATGTCAAAGCTGGACAATATCACATGCTTTTGCTGACGAATTGCAGCATTGGGTGTAGACCTCTCAAAGACTCAAGTATATATTGTTGACTAGGGGTAAAAGACAACAAAAATGGATAGTATCGCAAATGTTTTTTTGGTGATATGCAAAATTTGAATATTTAATATATTGTCTGAGCTGGGAATCGCAGGATCCCTTATGATTATGATACTCGTCTCCTTTCTCTGAACAAACATCAAAACTCTAGAACTGTCACAAAATAATTTATTAAAATATGCCAAAAAATCAATACATCAATACAGCAGCCCATGAAAATGATACTGTATCACCAAATTTTGCATCACAATATATCCGTATTTTAGCACATCTAGTATAATCTCCCAAGCAAATAGATATTTCTGCCCTTTTGTGGTTCATTTTATGGTCCATTTATATTTTGTTTTACACTTGAACCTCAACCAAGACATTTACAGACTCATTTTAGCACAATCTTGATATACCATTGAAATATAATTTGCATATCGCTATTAAGATAATGCAAAAAACAAACAAACAAAAAAAAACTATCAAGACATTGTCCAAACTTATCACTGACAATTTATAAGAACAAAAATCTTCTATCTTTAATACAATGAAGACTCTTATGCCCACTCTTATTACCTTCTGCTTGCCTGGGGAAGCTCCGAGGGTGATGTCTGCCTCCACAAAGCCCTCCTCGTCCAGGGTGACCACATCTGAGCTCAGCCCCTCCTTCCAGCGTGGAGAGGTCATATCATGCACCAGTTTGAGAGCAGTGGACTTGTGGACCGTGTTGGTGTGGGCCCAGTAGATCCCAATTTGAAAGGCCTCCTGGACACACAGCAAGCAAAGATCAGTAATATAGAAGGGAAAGCAAGCAAGGTACGAGGAGGAACAGCGTAGTTTGTAGTATGTTAGTAAAAAATAATAATGAAAATATGTAGAGAAGATTTAGAAGAATAAGAAGAACAACTGAACATTAAAAGCTCTCAGCCAGTTGTAGTTAAAGGGCCCATATTATGCTATTTTCTGATCTATGTTATGTTATTTGTTGTTTCCTCATTAAAAACATACCTGGAGTTTTGTTTTGCTTCATTCATACAGGTTTAACACACAAACTCTGCATATTTATGTTGATTTCTTCTCTCAAATTAAAAACACTATTATGCATTGAGATGTTATGGCAATTCAGGAAGTGTTCCACTGTGTTTTTAAACTTCATACACCTTCACTAGAATCATTTGGATAATTTCAGCTCTAGAAACGCTAATCTCTACTGAACTAAAAGTACAAGGTAGCTGTTAACTCGAAAACTACCACTACCGGACAACACAAGATGGAACAGAGCATTTTGAGCTTTGGGGATGTAGACAGATTTATAATAAAGTCATACTCAAACATGTGTGAATGAAACAAAACACAGCTCCAGGTATGTTTTTGATAAGGTAACAACATTCTAACATGACTTAAAGCTCAAAAGAGTCAATACTGTGTAATGTAGGACATATATAGCAACAATGTGTAGCTTCTGAGTGGAAGGATTTCACCTGCATGACCATAAAAATAGAAAGTTCAAACCATACTTAGTCTCTCGAACATTTTTCATAGAGATTAATACATTTTATGCCATATGGTGGAACATTTTATCTATATGAATAAAATTTCCATGCAAGCAGGTTGAGACCCTCCAGGCTTAAGAGTCAGGTTTGTGGAGATGCAAGCCTGCTCACAGAAAGGCCACACGTTTTTCTATGTTTGGCAGTGCAAAACATGAAAAATGAAAAAAAAGAAAGCAAGCTTTTATTTTTATAATTTCTTGGCTAAAAGTTATGCGGTGAGGCTTTGATTTGTTTATTTAATTAGATTTTTTTTTTTTTCGTGAAATGGATACATAACATTAGAAACAGTCCTGGCTAATGTCAGGTATTGGCCATGTTAAAAGAACATAGCTTAGGTGCCCTACTAATGCTTCACTGACAATTGCATGGCGTTTCTATTCAGTCCAGCAAGCCTTGCCAGTCCTGCCCCATAAACCCATCAGATGTGAGTCCTCTCTTGACGTGCCATGATAAATAACAGGCACTATGGAAACAATGCTTTATTTGTTTCTATTTTACAATCGACACTGCTTGTTATGCGGTATGCTTCGTGCTGGACCATATCTGCACTTGTTCTTTGATACATTGCCTCTTTCACTTTAGTAAAAGAAAAAAGAAATGTGTGTGTTATGTTCCCCAAAACTAGGAGGGGGGAAAAAACATCTGGAGACCTCTTCTTCTGATCTCGAATGTGAACGAGAAGACATGCCTACAATATTCAGTGACAGAGTTTGGCTGCAGATGAAGACCAAGACTGGAAAGGACTGCAGAACTCAAGCATGAGCTAAGAGTTTGTGCTTGTTACACGACACTGAAAATAGCAAAGTGGATTTAGATTAATGCTAGCGTCACATCAAAAGGTTTGCCCTGATTGAAACAAAATATATTTTTAAGTGCAAATGCAATTAACAATTAGGGTACAGGAAGAATGAGAATAAATGAGCGGGACTTTTATGGCCAATGGATTAACAAAGAATGTAACTGATTAGAGTACAGTTGAGGAATTACATGGGCAGTTTGGCACATGATGACAGTACAGATAGCAACAAATTAGCTGACGTTTTAGTTGTTGTGAACAGACAGAGAAAGATTATGATCATATTTTGTTTCATAATTTTAAGTTTCTCTATAAGCCAGGATAATGGTTGAGGGTCATTACCTAAGAAGAAAGTAAAGGAAGATGTTTTCAATTGCATCAATGTGTTCTACTCAATGATAGGGCCTTCAAAATGTGTGATTGTGCAGCTTTGGTATTTTAAATCAGAAATCAGAATTTAAATCACAATCAGAAAACATTGTGTTCCAAAAAGATTTTCTAGGTATTTTTGAGCAATAAAACCATCTGTAATTGAATACATGTAAGTTAGATTTAATTTAATGTCATATTCTGGAATATTCAAAGCAAAACAATTCCAGAGAAAAAAAGAAGGTGACGAACCCCCAAATGAAAAGTTACATAATGCATCTTTAAATTTGTCAGTTAATGAGTCATTTAGTGAGCTACTGTGTCCAAATAATTTCCCTTGTGAATGAATAAAGTCTAAGTCTAATACCTAGACATCTGCCTTCTGTGTGCGTTCCTTAGAACATGCAAACTTCTCGATTCGGGGATTGAACCCAGGACCTTCTGGCAGTGAGATGAGGGCAATTGTGTATAGCAGAGATAGTTCTATATTTTTATTTTTCTTGTACATATATAATAATTATGCCTTATTTGACACTAGCCTCTTGCTATTTTTGGTACTTATTTTGTAAGTTATTATTACCCTTTGTATTTTTGCTCTTTGCTATAATATTTATTGTGATGTGTGAGCCACTGTGTCCCTATGGATCAATAAAGTGATAATAATTTGAAGACTGTACCTTAAAGTTGGGAGGCACTATGACCTTCCCGGCTGGTATCTGAAGGACAATGCTTTCCCCCTCAAACAGCCACAGGTCCCACTGGGAGTGGTTGGCCAGCAGCGCCCAGGGCAGGAGCTCCACCAGCAGAGTGTTCAGACCAGGCTTCCAACACGACAGCTTCACCTGCATGGGACTGTCCCATTGAGCCAGGGGGTCTGACACAGGCCTGAGGGACAACAGCAACACAAGTAATCAGAAGTGGCAGACGGCACTGCATAGATACAGAGGTCATGATTTTTTTGATAAAACAGAAATGCAAGATCAGTCCTATTTACTATGTCACATGTTTACAATAACAATAATAACTAAATAAACTAGGATTTCTCAATAGACCTGCCACGATAACAAACTTTGAAGAGCAATATATTGCTCAATTAATCAAACGATAATACTGAAACCAAATCATAAAACAATTATCCCCAAAAATGTATTTTAAATGTACATTGTTACAAGCAGCAATAAATAAATAACAGAATGCAGCACTTAAGTAGTTGGTTTGTACCAAATCTTATCATAGTACAGTAATAGTACAGTAAAGTAACCACAATTTTCCCACTAGTACTAAGAAAAATTACCTGATTGTCCCATCTGCCATGTACTGAATGATAAGTCGATATAGTATTTATTGAGACAAGCCTACTTGTCAATAAAGACAAATATGAATACAATACAATACAGCACAATGCAATAAAGATGTTTGTTAGACATTAATACAACTTTACTGGATACAAGTGGAGGAAAAATTACAATACACTAAGATACTGTGCATAACAGGACCTCTGAGCAGCAAAGCTTTGTAGGATCAAGTAAAGTTTGGGGAAAGAAAAGTTTTGCAAACAGCTTGGAACTGGAGGAGCAGTTGACAGGTCATGTGGGAACACACATCGATACAGAGGGACAGACACAGAGAAACAGACACACACACACTGCACAGTTTTTCCAGCGATTCCCTGACACAGCATTCATTTCACGGTTATCACATGTTTGTGAACCCTAAACAGGACCCAGAGCCAAACAAACACAGCCCTCAGACAAACTGCACTTCAAACACTTCAGATGTGGGCCAGGCCCTGACTGCAGGGCTGCCTCCACCGCTCACTTTTTGTACATTTAATATTTTCTATTTCAGATATTTTAGAATTTACCTTTTACTTAAATCACCTAATCAAACAAATATCATTAGGTCAGCTGAGTTATCTGGTAATAATATTGGTTTGATTATTATCATATCTAATTTAAAATATAAAATTAACTTAGAATTTAAATCATCTGTCTGTGGTCTTTTTATACATGTTTTTCCAATGTATTTTTTTTAATGGCAAATAAACTAATAAACTAAGACAAGATCCATTATACTAAACGTACTGAGTGAAGATTACATATGCAAATTGGCAGCATCAGAGGAGGCCAGACAGGAATGGTGTTAATGTACATGTTGCTGCTGGCTAAGATGTACATATATATGGCTAAGATATGGCGCATAGCTATCCCTATTATATAATAGCAGAAGTAATGATTGAAGTCTGGCAACTCAACCAATTCATGAAAGCTAGCTATATATCCAGCTACACTTTCTTATGGGACCCAACATAATTGTGGTAATAGCCACTCTTTACAGTGTATTTTGTTTGTGTAGTTAGTCAAATTGGGCTTTGACGTTAACAGTGCGGGTAGCGGAGTGAGCGCTCATAAATCACATCACACAGCTCACAAAACTGTAATTGAAAGAAATGGGGCTTCTGTCAGAACTGCCAACTCTGAGGCCGAGGGCAAAAGAGGTGTGAATTTGGAGTTTTCACACACTTCAGTTTACTCCAAGTCCAACCACTACATGCTGTTTGCGTAATGATCCTAAAGACGCCATTAAAATCCAACAGAGAAAGAAAAATAACAGTTACCACTTTCAACTTCCTGTGCCCCATTAAGACACAATATTTACACACTTCCCATCAAGGTTTGACACAGGCTCTCTGCTGGACTGAAAACAGAGTATCTAAAAGCAATCATATAATTTATATTACAGAAATTAGCCAAAAATACACAACGTTAGTGATGTTAGTGTTCAAGTTTGGAGTGTGTTTAGGTACTGAAATCTCTGCTATTACTGCTCAAAAAATGTTCTCACCATTGAATCCCACAGTTGTGTGCTTGATTGATTTTTGACAATGTAATTCACACAAACACTCAATTGTAAAGTATTTAGCCATGTTTAGAAACTTGTCTAAATGAAAACATTACAAAACATAAGAAAGCTATAAACATTTTCATCAAATGTGTTGCACAATTTGTCCATAGTTATTTTTAAATTACATATTAGTTCCTTGGTCAGCATCCCTGTTTATAGAAAGAGGAGTTTAAAGTGGAGTTTTATTTACAAGAGAGTTAAAGTTACCATTTCAGTTACTGTTAAGAAAAGGTCAGAAATTACAATTGTGTCTATTGTGAATTCTGCGTATGAGTACTTTTTAGTCACTCCAATAAGAATGAGTGGTTGTGCATTGTATATGATATAAAAAGATGACAGTAAACAGTAAACAAAATGAAGTAAAAATAAAACACATTAAAAAAAATCTACTTAAGTAAAAGTATTTCACACTCATTTTGAGGCTTATAAGGCTTCAAATGTATTGATTTGTGCTGAAGTTTTAGCAATTTGTGTATTTTTGTTTGCTCTCAAACAACAAATGTGTTAAAAATAAACCCCTCAGACTTTTCAGCAGGTTTCACACAATAATAAAAATACTTTACAGCCCAGTAAAAAATGTAGTGAAAGTAAAGATACTTTCTTTCAAATGTACTGAAGTAAAAGTATCCACTTTAGAAAGCAAAGTACAGATACTTGAACTTTTTATTCAGGTACAGCACTTTTTCTTTTTTTTTTTAACTTTAACTTTTATTTTGTTAAGTTTCACCATTGTAGCACTATCTGTATCACCTGTGTGTGATGCAGTGAGCAGAGAAACAGCCAATCACAGTCAGACACATGTCCAGCAGATCCACTCTCTGAGCCTGAGCCCGGGAGAGAGAAGCTGCTCCGATGTCTTCAAGATGTCAGTGTGATTGGTGTGTGACAAGAGAGGGCTCCCAGAGTGTCATGTGCAGACAGCATTTCGTATGAGCGAGACACAAAGGGAGGGATACACGGCAGAAGCTGGATCTGGATTCTTGTCTGAATGCATGTTAACAAATATATAATTAAGACGCATAATTATTGAGTAAAGCTTGTATCCAGAGTTTGAGCCAATCATTAAACACTTTTTTTTCATGTTTGTTTCTTGACAGCAACAGGTTTACTGGAAGGAAAATGAATAGCTCCCAATCCATCCTTTGATATTTACTGTATTATCAAGTATTACCCTTGCACCATTTCCACAATAGTTATGATGCAATAGTTTCTACTTTATTCTTCTGTGTTTTTCCACAAAATAGTTTTCAAATCAGGATGTATTTATTGTGACATTTATATCTCTATAAATACTGGAAGTTCACAAGGGCCTATATTACGCTAGTTTGTGATCCATGTGGTAATGCTGTTTCCTCATCAAAACATACCTGGAGTTTTGTTTTGTTTCATTCACACATGTTTAATACACAGATCCAGCATATTTAGTTATTCTCTCAAATGGAAAACACACTGTTCCACCTTGAGATGTCGTGGGGTAATACAGGAAGTGCTCCACTGTGTTTTTTTAAACTCCACTTGAATGATTTAGACAATTTCAGGAATTGCCAATCTTTACTGAACTAGAGGTAAAAGGTAGGTGTTAGGGTTAGTGTTAATGTTAGTTGAAAACTACCACTTAATGACATCACAAGGTTGAACAAAGCATTTTAAGCTTTAAAGATGTAGACATACAAATAAACCAGGATTACTCAAACATGTGAATGAAACAAAACAAAACTCCAGGTATGTTTTTGAGGAGGTAAGAGCATTATAACATGACTTAAAGCTCACAAGAATCCATTTTGTGTAATATAGTACTTTTAAGATCTCATAGCCAAAACCATAATAACATAAAAGGTCAAATACTGTATAAAATATTATTCATATTATGGTATACTGTAAGAAATTGCATGTTCAAAGACACAACACAGAATAAAAAACCTCCTGTTGTAATCTGTTGCCAACTTTTAACTGGATGCAAGGCCCTGAGAGTTGTGTGAGAAAGAGGACCACGACGCAGTGACAGACTAAAGCTCCAGTCTGTGGGGACTGCGGCGGGCGTCTGAAGCACGGCTCACCATTGTCTGTGGAGTTAACCGTTATATGATGTGAACAAAGGCAGCACAAAGACAAGAAGCGTCTCTCATTAAAGGCCCGTTGCACAACAGTGTGTGAGCCTGACAATGGGGCATGTGTGTTGTAACATCTCAAAGCAAAGTCCTACAAAACACCACAGCACAATATGGACTAGAGATCAACCACTACAGGTTTTTCCATGGCCGACGCCTTTACCATGCCTTTACTTTATTTGGATTAGAATCCCGAGCAGCCGATGGCCAATAAGCTCTGCCGATAATTTTTGGACCGATATTTTCCTCAATTTATGTCATTTAAATTTACTACAAACTCACAAACAGCCCCTTTATTGACACAAACTTTTAAGAGAGCTGTGCATCACATTTAATACAATCTTTTTGCATTAAAGTAATAAAATAAATCTTTGTGTGTATTTTTATGCAGTAAATCAACCAATACAAAATATTAGCCTGTGGTAGAGATTTAAGGCTGATAGCAGATAGCTGATATGATAAAAAGTCTGATCTCAAATATGGACATACACAGAACTACATGACTTAGATTCTTGGATGATGTTGGATTGACGCACTAGGGTTGTTTAAACAGCCCTCATTTGCAGCATTTGGTAAATAGTTGATCTCACAGCATTTTGAGGTAAAATGAGTGTCTCAGTGGGAGTAATATAACCAACATCTGTAATTTCATAATTGTCAGCAGCACAACAATCTTAATTCCTAAACTGTTGTGACTAAACCTCCAAAGAAACTGGTTCAGCTGATATCCTGGTTGGGTCTTTAATTTGATGTAATAAAACTATTTATTGGCTGATGCAGGCCTAGGATGTCTCATAATATTTGAACTTTTATCCTTTCAAAGCTGTTCAGCAGTTACTTGAAAGATAAATAACAATTACATAACAAAACTGGACCCATTTGGTAATGAGTTAACCATGCTTTTGGGGAGAAAAAAAGGACAGTTCCTACACTGACATTGGTCCATATCAGCAGATACGATGAACATATTGTACTAAGAGAAATGAGAACCAAACCTTTTTAACACCAGTATTCTCATACCTGTCACTGTCTTTGGACACATAGGGCCATTGCAGCTCGGTGGATGTCTTTGCTCCATAGAAGTCATTTAGGATGAGATCTAGGTTGCCTTGACTTCCTGTTTTGCTCAGGATCTGTTTGATTAGACTCGTGGAGATGGGTACAGCACAGTTGGAAGCATCTTCATCTTCCCTACAACAGAAAAAATGATAAACTTTATTTAAAAGTCCAGTATTACATAAAATTGACATTGTGATCTTGAAGCCATGTTAAAATGCAGGTGGATGCTGTTTGATGAGGAAACATTGTAACATAGATCAGAAAATAACCTAATATTGGCCCTTTAAATGTCCTGTGTATTTCTAGGTTACATAATATATGACCTTAATTATAGCTAGTCACTTTAGAAATAGATACTTCACAGTAATCTTAATTGTGCCTTCAACAGCTAGTAATATTTATTTTCACTATCTCCTCTTTGTATCTTATAATACAATATAAGTGTTTAGGCCTCAATTGCAGATGTACATTTCTCAGTACAATTATGTTTACAATCTCTTCCAGAAGCAATTCATACTTCGTCTTCTTTTGCAATAGAAGCAAACACCTTTTGACAGCCAGTTCTTGTTCCCATTGTTCTTATGACCTGCAGCTAAACTTTGATTGTACCCTGAAACCACTTCTCTAAATCTAATCATTGAGTTTGTGTGTTTTGTCTGACTTGGAGTATAGCCTTACAAGCTCACAGATATCGAGGCGTAGTGCATTTTCTTGTGAATCTTGTAGACCCAGACAGTGGTCAAAGATGGAAGGAAGAAAATATAACAAAATCTAAACAATAGTAATAGCCTCTTTGATTTCTTTGGGCTGTATCTTGTTCTTCTTGGCAGTTTATATCAAGCATGTATTAATAGATCTATTGTGCTATAAAAGGGAACAAAATGAGATTAGCTTTGGTTTCAGGGGAAGACAAAGTAGTGGGACCAGGTGTTGACAGGAACCTTTTCCTGACAATACATCTCAGGGGGGTAAGAAACAAAACAAAAAAGGATTGTAAGCCTCATATTGTTTCCGTTGTGGTGACTAGCAGGGCATGGTTAGGTTTGGTTGGTTCATTAGGAGCCACAAGAATGCATAATTACAGGAGGAAAAATTAGCTGCCGACCAATGAATCCTCATTTGAGTTTTTGGGACTTAACTCAGTAAAATGTTATGTGACAAGGAGTAACTTTAAATGAAAGATTAAGGATTGTCATTCAGTTATTTGTGCTATTCCCAAGCCAAACTAAGCAAAGTATAATCAAAATTAATATGCCAATGGTTGTACACGAGATATTTAAAATTTCCTGGGAAGGGGTAAGAAACAAAACAAAAAATGATTGTAAGCTTATATTCTTTCCATTGTGGTGACCAGTATAAACCAAGCAGGACATGGTTAGGTTTGGTTGGTTCTTGAGCGTTGCTAAGCCACAGTTATGCTCTGTACCTTGTTCATTAGGAGCCACAAGAATGCATAATTACAGGAGGGAAGATGAGCTGTCGACCAACGAATCCTCATAATTTGCGTTTTGGGGACTTATGTCTGCCGTACAAATGTCCAAAGGTGCAGTTTTACAGTTGTGGGTTTCTGAGCTGTAAGGGATGAAGGATGGATTGAGTTGGAGGGGACATTTGAGTTTATGTGGTGAGTAGTGGTTTAGACAGGGGGGCGCATTGTAAACACTAGACGCATTGTGGTCACCAACAGAAAGACAAGACACTTTGGAGTTTGCCTTTTGAGCTTATGAAAAGGATTTATCTACAAAAACATCAACTCAAAATATTCCCAGTTACTGAATGGCACACTGCGGTTTCTTTAGCGCAGATGAAATGAAAACAAACTTTGTGACCAGATATCTAAACAAAGGAACATAATGTAAAAAATGGGGAATCAGATGCACTCGTGTTTATCCAAATCACCGCTAGCTGCTACCAATAATGTGATTTTTCTTCAACGGATTATGCATAAAACAACACAGATTACAATTGTAGTGATAACAAAAAACCCATGCAGTGTGTTTTTTCCATTGGTGCCACCCAGGCTGAAAATGCCAATTGCCACTTCAAGGCTGTCAAAATAGAGAAACTGCTATGTAGACAACGTAGTTACACTAAACAAGAGGTAAGCTTTGAACAGGATGACACAAAACTCTGGTTGTTAATGGCTCTTTATGGTCAGCCAGATGTAAAATGGTATGAGACAAGTAACTTCAAATAAGAGATTGAGAAAAATGTATCAGTTATTTGTGCTGCTCACAAGCCAAACTCAATAAATTCAAATCAATATTAATCTGCCAATGGTTGTACGGGAGATATTTTATAATTTACAGGGAAGTCAAATAGTGACCTTAAATACCCCATCTTTTATGATGAGTGCTTTTCCTTGAATGAGGCCTTAAATGAGGTAAGTGTCTATTAAGTGCATTGTAATTCATAGCAAAGGAAACCATATTTTAAACCTGTTAAAAATATTACTTCTTTGAGAAAAATCCCACAAGGTCATGTCAGGTCATTTGCTTGGGAGTAAAATTAGGTGTTAGACCGGATTTTAGCGTGAAAGTCAAAGGAACAGTTTCAACACTGGCAGCAGTTCAGGGCACTGTCGGTGTGCTCTATATACTGTGCCACTGTTGGCGCTTCAGTTTGTGCACCTCACTATTAGCATGTAAATAAAGTATATGAGGGTACAAAAAACATGCATGAAAGTGACTGATGCTCAGAACAAAAATACATGGTCAGATAGGAGGTAGGGCAGTTTGAGGAGAAGAAGAGACAAAACTGTCCGTCTTTTGTGTCCTGCAGCATCACAGTAGCATCCAGGGGGAGCAAGATGAACACAACAACTAACCCTAATTCTTCATCTGATATGTTGTTTCTGTTGATGACGAAATTGTCCATTCATAGAGTAAAACTCTATTACTTAAACACTGGACAAATACATTAAAATAATCATATCGATATTTAATAACCTCTTATTGACTATAACATCTTTTGGCAGGAGTATTGAGAGGAAATTGGTTACCACTGGTTAAAAGCCTAGGTTACACTTGTTCTGTGACTTGTGAAGGGCTTTGTTTGTCAATATTTTTCTGTTATTCAAGAAAAAAACTACCTAATCAACCTCTAGTCTTTTCAACTGTAAATAGTCACAGGTACTGCTTTTCTAGGTGTCATGCTCATGGACACAGTGGTAGCATGCACAGGTCAGTGAACACCAACTGAACCACAACTGAACGTATCCTTATATAGCAGGTCAGTAGTGGCAGAGGGCTTATGTACGTGGGACTGTGCCCATGATGAAGTGGTGACTATGACACTTCCCCTGGCGAGGCCAGGCGTCACGGGACGTTCACAGAGCCAGACCACACACAGATAGTACACATGTGCATGTGGCATTACTCATCAGCCCGCCCCTGCAAACATGTACGCCATCACAGATAAATACTCTTCCAATACGGGCCAAAACCTGCTTTCTGTTAGGCCCGGTATCTAAATGAGCGCAATTATGGTTCTGATCTGACATGATGGAAATGGAGCTGGTTTGGAACAGCTGCCAAATGGACTTCCTTTTGCCTAAATATCACTCCCAACTGTCGTCATATTGAGTCAGACAAAATGGAGTGGGTGAGTCTTAAGTAAGTGTCTTTTACCATCTGGCTAAATACATGCAGAAAAAGTCATTGCAGGAGACAAGTGTCAGGGTTCATGGTAAAATGAGCTGTTTGACAATGAGATAATGTAGCAGGCACTATATTGTAATCGGTTTTGTCACTGTTATGATAAATGTCAAGTTTACAAGTGACAAGCTGGCAAGAGTATTTGATCAAAAACTCAAATAGCTGTCTAGAGACCGTTTTCTGGCCCAAAATAAGTCCACAACTGTCAGCATCTGATTGAAAGGCAACAACAGAATATCTATTCCAGTCAGGAAAGAGTTTAAAATGCCATTAATCCATTATGCGTTGAGAAAAGTATGCAATTTAAGTCGAGTGAGGCTTTAAGGAAATTAATTAAAAGGACATTACAACATGCCTTTTGATGGGAGTATTCACCTTACCTGACCTGCTACAATCATCACAAAACAACATAAAGGATGGAGAATCAACTATTGAAGCACCAAACTATTATTTTTTTCAGGTAAAAGTTTTGTTCTGAATGTTAAGAACAATGAGAATTTTGAAGATTCTGTTTTTGAGAGAAACGTGCTACAAATGAGATGAGAATGTTTGGATTGTCTCGCTCTGAATTTACGCTCTATTGTCCGGTCCCAGTTCTCATTGGATTCAAACAGAATATAGAAGGGACTGGCTGATCAGTGACCTGGCTTGGAAGGTGAGGTGGTGGGTCTGGTCTGCCTCTGTGTTGAGCAGTGGTTCTTGGTGGCCCTGCCCCAGGATGAGTTGACTCTCCCTGAGCCCTAGACTCCTCTTCTCCACATGGACGATCACAGGGTCAGGGAGGTGGCTCCGCATCATAAAAAGAGGACTGAACACCACCTAAAATATATACATTTTACAAAACTGAGTATAATGACAGTTTTTATGTCTTTTTTTCAGTCAAACTCACCACTCTCTGTTGCATGTGAGTATCAGGTTCAAGAGTGATGAGAGTGCACCAGACATACAGCAATGATCCACTGGAACAAGGCACCTGCAAATGTACAGAAAATAAGTCAAACACCAAAAGTAACTGAAGAACAGAAACAGCAAATTAGTAAACCACTAAAGCACAAATATGTATATTGTAATCTCATTTAAGAGTGTCTTATACTCTTGTGAGCTTTAAGTCATGTTATAATGTAGTTAACTCCTCAAAAACATACCTGGAGTTGTGTTTTGTTTCAGTCACACATGTTTAAGTTACTTTTTATTATTAGTCATTAATTATAGTACATCTATAAAGCTCAAAATGCTCTGTTACACCTTGTAATATCAAGAAGTGGTAGTTTTCAAGCTAACACTTACCTTTTACCTTTTGTTCGGTAGAGATGGTCAATTCCAAAGTTGACATTATCCAAATAATTCAAGTGAAGGTGTATGGAGTTTCAAAACACAGACTTCACAAGGTGGAACACTGTTTTGTGTTTGAGAGAACTCAGCCAAAATATGCAGGATTTGTGTGTTAAACATGTGTGAATGAAACAAAAGACTCCAGGTGTGTTTGTGATGAGGAAAACAACACTAACATGGATCAGAAAATTGCGTAATATGGGCCCTTTAAAAATAAAAAAAATAAAAAAAACAGCATGTCAAAGAGCATCTAAGGCAACATACTCATTACATGTACAGTACTTGCAGCATTTTTCTCACTGACAGCATGTTTATAGCCTCCATCAGTAACGCATTATCATGCTTTGTCTTACAAAACACAGTTTCTTGGCTTCTTTTGGTGGTAAAAATTTGAGCCCTGACTCATAATCTCTGAACGGAGTGGACTGAAGAGTGCTAATGCCAGATCTGAGACAACTTGGGGCAGTAAAATCTCTGTGAGCTTTAATGGCTGAGAATGTACCCATAGAAGACCAAGATGTTTTATTGTGTCATTGGTGTTTTGTCCTCGCTCCTCATTAAAGGCCTTCTGATGCCAAAGCACATTACAAACGGCTCTGTTTTATGACGTACAGGGGATTTCACTGTTAGGGACAACAACATACTGACGAGATTGGGGCATGCAAAACAGCCTTGTTAGACATGGGAGGGTCCAATTTTGGCAGAACAAATTCTTGAGGTATTCCCCTAAAAATAGTGCCACTGATGCAGTATTTCTAGGAATGCACGTAACAAAGAAATAGCATTTTAAAGGTCTTATATTACACAAAACTGACTCTTGTGAGCTCTAAACCATGCAATAAAGCTGTTAAAACATATCTGGAATTTTGTTTTGCTTCATTCACACATGTTTGAGTGATTTTGGATTATTAGGCTGTCTTTATCCCCAAAGCTCAAAATAGTCCAAAGCTCTGTTCCACCTTGTGATGTTATGTAGTGGTAGATTTCATGTTAATCTTTTTCCTCTTGTTTAGGTTAGACTTGCAATTATATAGCTGAAATCATTCAAATGAGTCTAGTAAAGGTGTATGGAGTTTAAAAACACAGTTGAGTACTTCCTGTATTATCACATGACATCACAAGGTGGAACAGTGTTTTCAGTTTGAGAAAATAACTCCGCCTAAATATGGAGTGTTTGTGTGTTAAACAAGTGCGAATGAAACAAAACACAACTCCACATATGTTTTTGATGAGGAAACAACTTTATAATATAGATCAGAAAAAAGTAGGTGTGTTATTATGTGTTATGTGTCTGCTATAGAGGCCTGAAAATAGGGTCACTCTGACCTCCTGTGCTTTGTCAAACATTAAGGACAAGGGCAAAGAGTGTTTTGTGTGGGAGGAAGGTGAGATACAGGAGGCACTTCAGATGGATTATGGGACATTACACACAGACTTGGGCAGGGGAGTGATTCAGACCACGTAGCAGGTGGATGAGCTTGTGCCAAAAGGGTAAAGTAAATAGTGAAGAGGAGTTAACTACAGCAAGACGAATGAGGCAGAAAGAGCAGGAGTCCGGGAGGAAACCGGAGAGTGAAATAGCAGTGAAAGACAGAGATAGAGAGATCTAAGCACTCAGCTACTCCAGCAGGCAGCTCTCTCATAATGAGCCAAACTCCACATGTGAAATGTGAAGGGAACAGATAACAGACGGAGCAGGAGGAGACACAGCCATGTACACACACACTCAAGCTGGGGCCAGACCAGATGCACCAAGACACCAAGAGGAAGGCCAAGCGGGTTAACATATGAGTTAGCTTTGAGAATATGTACACAGGAAAACAGAAGATTAAGATTAATAATAAACAAAATTAATATGGCAGAAACATGCATGCTAAATTGTTTGCTGAACAAGATGTTGTAATACTATTTGGCCTTTTTAGGGAACTAATATATCAGTTGCACAAGGCACAATAAAGAAAAGCTTACTCAATAAGACATTGATAAAGCTGGTGGTCTTTATACTCATCTCAGTTCTAAAATTATAGTGTTGTATTAAACCCTGAACTCTCTAGTATTGCTAAACACAGAAGCTGGGGAAGTGAATGGGCTTGTGTTAACAGCACGGGGCTCATATCTGAATAAAAACAGAAATACTTTGCCAGAGAAGAATAATATGCACAGGGCCAGTAACAGCAGGAGGAAGAGATGGAGTGACTATCTGGCTCTAATCCAGCGGTGTGAAAGTGGCTTCAAAGGTTCTCCCCATGCCCACATATCAGCTAGAGTTTCCTGTCCATGGTTAGCTTTGTTATGAGAGAGCATAAACTGTATTTTCTGCCTATCAACATCTTTCTGGTTACGGGTTAGAAAGTGTGGGGCCATCAGTGAACCATATTGGAAGGACAGAACTCAAAAAGCAGCGGTACGGAAGACATGCCACTGCGCCCACCCAGGAGGACTCCAGGCATCTCGTCCCAGTTGGTGGTCCTCGTAAGCTTCAAACGTGCGAGACCAGAGATGGTGGTGGAGATGGGGTTGTGTTTGCATCGTGTCTATTTATACGTATTCGTGTTGGAACGCTTTCATGATTTTGAATATTGATAAATTCTAACCAAGTTGTACCATTTTCCCAAAACGTAGGACCAAAATACATCAAAGTGAAACAACTGTTATGTTCCATCTCTTCCTTCCCTTTCTTCTGTCAGTTTTGGGTAGGTTTGAATGATCAATTAGAATGGATATAGTACAAAACATGTCTGGTATCGACACATGTCTACCATCTTAAATCGGGCATATTCAGGTCAGTTGCCATTTTGTAACAACATTGCCAACCTCAAAAATGTATGCATAGTGGAATGACTGTATTTGTGTTGCTCAGAGGCTGTATATACGAACGGACATTGGGGGACTTCTGGTTCCATCGACTCATTGAAAAATTGTCACCCCTCTCAATGTAACTGCTGCAGTGAGCCTCGTCATCTTATTTGATTTATTTGTAAATCTTAAATGTTTGTATTAACGCAGTCTACATGATCCTTAGCTTTTTTGTCCGTAAATCAATTTGTATTTCTAATAGCCTCATGAGCTTCATTTGAGTGGAGCCAAACGCTATGGGTGATGTCACACTCCCTTAGTCCACTTCTTTATACAGTCTATGGTGTGGATACAATATAATTACCTGAACCACAGAGCTGGAGGTAGTCTTGTCCCTTTTTTCTAGCTGTACGTCCTGGGACCAGTCTTCGTCTCCTTTGGCCCGCAGACATAGCTCGGTCATTTCTGCGTCCTCCAGCACATAAGAGGGCATCTTTCCCCCAGCCTCCAAGCAGTCACAGTGCTCCTTCACCACCGTCTGACTGTCAGAGCCCACATAGTGCTGCACCACTCGCAACTCTATGTCCTGATTCAAATAACTGCACATCACCTGCCTGCCACAGATTATCACCTGAAAAACAGAAACAATAGCATTTTCATATCAATTTCCCAAACATGACCTGCGTCTGTGTCCCCAGATAAGGTAGACATGTTCAAATGAAATAAATTTTTATTTAATATTTATTCTTATTAACAAAAACATTTGACATTTAGTGTTTTAGTTCTCAACACAATTATCCAATCAGAAAGCAGAATAGATTGCTGGTTCCAATGCTAAGATCTATACCTAAAAGGACTCTCTCTGACCTAAAAAATGACTGTCTAGACCAGGGGTGTCCACACTTTATTCATCAAGGGCCACAAATCTAAACACAGATGAAGCAGAGGCCGATCGAGGGCCATAGACTGGGGCTCAGTACAGGGAAATAATTGAAATATGTGCATGTTTAACACGTTTGAATGAGCCATCAGTCTTTATTCATGCTAAGATCCTTAAAACCACAAAATAAATATTAAATATGAGCTTTGTCAAGGTAGATTTTCAAAAAACTTGCAGTAAAAAATTATTATTTAAATGATGCAAGGTAATTTGGGCCAATTCACCTGGAAGCATGAGGGCCAAGAAAAATTTGTCTGAGGGCCGCATTTGGCCCCCGGGCCGCAGTTTGGACATGCCTGGTCTAGACCATGGCACCTGCCGCCAACCTTTAATCATGGCTAGTGCATTTCAGTGAGTGAGCTGGCAACCAAGGTTCAGTTGGGATAGTACTTCCTTTTTAACCCAGCAAAAGAACAGGTTACATACTGTACTTTACTGATCAAGCTTATTGCCCCCTGAGGAAGAGTCAAGGTAAGAAACACCAGATATTTGCACTTGTAGCGGTAAGAGCAGTAATAAATTATAAAATTATACAAGAAAGCGAGTGAACATTTGGGAGTCTAAAATAAATGTCTTGTTCCACTGGATTAAGAAACTGCATGCAAACCACAAATAATGACCAATGTTTTCCTCTGCTTGGCAAGTTTGTGCCTCTGGTTGGACGGAGTAAGTGGCTAGTTCTTAACTTTTCATAAATAAAGACAGACTTTCGTGTTTTGACAAAATAAAACCACATCCAAGATTTTTTTTTCCAATACGAAACAAGATCATAACAAACATTAAAATTGTGTTTAAAATATTCTTTTCTTTTTTGGATTGAAGCTTTAAAGTAAAGGTAGCAGTGACATGTTGTGGAAGGAGTAGCAATGGTAATGTGGCAATGACAGCGGCAAAGACTTGTTACAGATACAACATGATTTGACTGATCTATTTTAGAAAGAAGCAATTCACCCAAAGTGACATATACTGTAGACTATGTATATATGTTGTATGTTTCTATATTGTCTAGCGCCAAACACAGATCAAAATCATCCAGTTCACTTTGTATTGAAAATGTGTGTGTCTTGGTAACTGCTTCCGTCAGGCTCCTCGTTTTCAGTTTCAAAATGTTCGCATTAACCCACATGATCCTGGTGTTTTTATTTCACTTTTTTGTCTGTAAATCAATTACTATTCCTAACAGGCTCCAAATCCACCCTTTATAACCTCTGTGAGCTTCATTTGACTAGAGCCGAATGTTGTGGGTGATGCCACATACCACTTCTTTATACAGTCTATGTCATAACCATAGTCAAACCCTATGAAAAAATACTGTATATTCTGTTAACAGGCCATGGAAATGCTGTAGCGTAAGCATATTACAAAAACACAACTTATTAAAAGCAAAATCATCCCAAACTAGGACTAGAACTGTTTTCAAATCAAACGTGTCCTCTTATGGTCTAAAGCTCTGAAGCTGGTTCATATCAAACCCTTTGTGTGAGACATGTGAGTGTTCCTCTTTTCTTTTCCAAAGGTCACACTCCATCTCCTCATTTTCTGACATATCTGCGCTGATATAAACCACATATAAACTTGATCCAAAATGGCTGGTATATAGCCCTTTCTGATGCATGCGAAGCCACGCTCAGCCAGGCCACAGCTTCAGGGGACTGGCACTTTAAAAGGACTTTGTTTCCCTGGTGAATGTATGGCTGATGGACTGGAGCAGGGCTGTGCATGTGCTCTGTAGTTGGGCTGTGGTCGTGATAATAATCTTGAATTGAAGTGTTTGCTCAGAAAGATGCATGCCTAATCTCCCCATCCGTCAGTGCGCTGTTCCATCTGCACACAACGCACAGCCGCACAGCCAGTAGCGGAAACAGGCAAAACAAACACATTTTCTGCTCCTTCTACAATGATACATGTTATCACGACACATGGACCATTATTTATATACATAGTTTTTAAATGTACCACAAATAAATGGCTTTGGTGAGGCCAGTGAAGCTTGTAACACTTCAATAAGGAAATAGGGGATTCCATGTTTTTCCCATTTCCCAAGATTTGCTTTTCCATAGATATTATACAGGCCAGTTCATTGAGCCAATTCCTCAAGGTTGGTGCAGCTCCATAGTGGTATAAGGACTACTGTCTAAGGAAATACCTGGGTTTCCAGTTGTACTGTCAGTGAGATTTTTATGGCTCAGGACACTCTTGCATACACAAGTTGGTACTTGCGTTTTTGAAGCCTGCTGTACCAGTGAATAAATCTATGTTCAAAATACAAAAACAAAAGAGGTCTACTTATTCAAAAACATTTCAAAGACGCCTTCCCTGGTACACCCCTTCAAAGTACTGCAATCATGAAACAAACTATTAATCACTGCTGTGGTCTACTTCTATTGAGGCAGCAGCGGTCATCTCTGAGACTTGTGTTGTCTATTGGAGGTGCCATTCAAAACATATGGGACCAATGTGTAAGCAAGGTCTGAGATGGAACAAGGAAATCATTTGAGTGTCCCAGTCTGTTTTGTCTGAGGTACGAAGAGAAAACGACAAACACCACACAACACACTATTTACATAACAGTGTGTCACCACTGCAATCTCATGGTAACATTAAGAAACACAAAAGAGAACTACAAACATGAGTCTGTATTACTGGTGTTAAACAGATTGTTTTTGACTGGTTTTATGGACTGAACGGGTACATTGTGTTTGCAGAGCTATAAAACAGATAAAGAAACATAACAACAACGGCGTCATAAAGGAGATTTAGAGGTGCTTATCCCAAAATGTCTGCTGGGTAAAGGCCAGACTTAGAAGTGACACATCACAGTGGCACCAAAGACAAAATGTAGCAAATCAGCTTCTGCTTTTGGTAAAATCGAGACCACTTTAAAGATTTGTTGCAGGTTTAGTGTAAGTGGTACCAGACTAACGCGTTATAATAATGCCTGTATGTATGACACGCACATGGACATTCAATAGGAGATTAGTTATACAGCTTTCACTTTGACTTTACATCAAGACAAACATAAACAGAAGCAGTCTCTTGTTTTAAAATGGACACCAGATACAGTACGGTTCAACAAAAGCTTTGGGCCTGGGGTGAAAAATAAAGTGTGAAATATATTTCAAATACATATAATTTGAAATGACTGGGGCATTAGATAAACCACAGGAATACGTTATTTACTATACCTCACTGTTTATGTGAAGAAACTAGTATCTATGTATTGTCTTTGTTCAGATTGTATTGTTCAAAACGGAAAATATATTCTGTGTTCGACCCATCCTTCAAATTTTCCACATGAAGATCCAGAAATTTTTTTTCAGTTCTAGTGCTATCCAAGAGTGTCAGGAAGATGAAAAATTAGGATCGGAATAGCAAATGACAAATTCAATAAGCAGACAACGCATCTCAAGGGGCTTTTTCTCCTAATAAAATTCATGTCGCATTTTTAACCAATACACCTTTATAATATAATAGTGAAAAAAAAAAACTTTTGAAGTATGATATATTGCTGAAAAAAATATAGACAATAAACAATAATAATGAAACTATTTTATGCCACTGCCACAATTATCCAAAAGCAGGATTTTCCTCCCCCAAAAATTATAATGTTCAATATGGTTACAAAACACAAACTGCAAAAAATAAATAGCAGAAGCAATCACTTTAGTAGTTTGTTTGTATCTATAATGAGTCATAGAAGTTATTTATTCAACCTTCTACAGCTCAAACCTAATCACAGAACAGAAAAATAACAAAAAGTCCCCCACTGGTACAAAGAAAAAGTACCCATGATAAATATTGACCCCCAATATGTTGATTGGTGGTTTTCAGATTCAAGAATGTGATGAGGTCATGCTCCCAGATGGGGGGCAGGAGCCAGATTTCCCTACTGATCCCATTGTATTTTGTGATGAAATATTCAAAAGGTAAATTCACAGATGCTGAGCCTGATATTTTCAATTACTGTTTAAACCCAAGAACTCATTTTATTACAACATTATTTTGCATTTTAACAATATTCATTTTAGCTGCCCCCCATCTGTATTCATTAATATTGAAGACAGAATGTTGTGACCAGTCTGTACCTGTCTCTGGACCCCGGTGAGCTGCTGGACTTTAATAATGAGTGAGGCAGTACGGCCTTTGTAGTGGATGGTCCGCAGCAGAGTACCCACGTTGTCAATGCTGAAGGCCTCGGACCAGCGCCAGTTCCCCCAGCCCTCGATACAGATGTGCAGCAGCTGTGGGCACAAACACATACAGAGGTTGGTCACTTTTGCCTTTATTTATCCTCCATGCAAGAGCAAACTAAACAACTAGGCGGTGTTTAGAGGAGGCTGGTAGTGAAGAGACGTGGTTCCTGTTTAGTGGTGAGCTGGCTGCTTGTTGGATGGACAAATAGTGGTCCGTATACAGTGGAAAAGGTCTAATGTGGAAGCCCATTATAACTGTGTGGCTGGATTTAGGAGGCTATGTTCTCCACGCGTCTAAATAAAAGGGAAAAGAGTTTGGATGGAGGACTTTTTCAACTTCACTGTTTTTGGAGCATCAGAGAGTGTTTGGCAGTAAACATGCTGACCAACAAACACAGCACTCCCACAGACAATATACCCATGTGGGAAAGTGGGTTAAAATTATGCGACAGCCATTAGTCATGCTGTGGAGGTTTGTCAGTGACAACTTTTGATAGTTGGAGCAAGACTTACTTTGAATGGATAATAATACAGGTTGAAGTACTATACATTTTGATATAGGTATATTTGCATGACATGAAATAATAATAGTGCATAATAAACACAACTTTGATAACTTTAGCTGTAATTGTTGGTCTATTTCATGCATGAACCCATATAAATCTGCCACATTCCAGGGTCCTTAGAAAGAGGTATTTAGTACATAGTACAGTGTAACACACCTTATAAATGGCTGATCAGTGATGAATCAGTAATTTGTTGAAAAAATGTGTATCAACTCAGGTACTGGATATCTGCAGCGGTATTGAAAATGTTGGTGGTGGTCCAAGATATTGGTTCAGCCAATATCCCATTTTGGTGTATAAATTGGTGTAATAAACTGATTTACTGGCCAATACTGGCCCAAAACACCTCATAATATGAAACTTGTATTTTTACTAAGATGTTCTGTTGCAAAATATTTTCAGTCTGTCCTAGTATCGGCTGACATCGAGTATCGGCAGATACGTAAAGTCAAAGTTTCGGCATCGCATTGGAAAAACATTGGTGCATCCCTAACCATGACCCTATAACAAAGCCTAAAATGGAACTCATCTTATACTCTTCTTATAAGGTGAAAAAGCTATGTCAAAATAAATGCCTAATTGGTTAATAGCTGAATTCCTCTGCAGGATATTTGCCAAAACATCACAAAACATTGGAGATTAGAGGGACATAAGTGGTCAGGGGTCCACTAAGCACATGTGAGCAGCAGTGAGGTCATCCGTCTGCCTCTCCGTATGGGACGCCATGCTCTGTGACAAGGAAACTCATTTGTCAAACAATGAATGTGTAGTCATGAGATTATGGTCACAATACAGGAGCCGAATCATAAATATGAGAAGAGATCTGAGCACTTGTCCCCCTCCAGAGGCGCCCCGTCTGACCTTAAATCTGACTGAACTTTGTACGTTAGCCGACAAAACCCAAACTTGTAACAAAAGAGGAACATGAGAAAGACAAAGAATGCTTGTGAGTGAGAGATGGAGGAGACAGGATGGGGCTCCGGACAGTCCCAGAGGAGAACGGGCTCAAATCAGACGCCTGCAAAGCATTTCTGAAGATTTACACTTTGTCTCGTCATCCAGTGTGCTGAGCATTTAGCCAATCTCTTTAAAGGAAAACAAATTACTGTTGGGGTCAAAGGGCGTGGGGGGACCCTGGTCAGGACCTGGGATGTTGCTGCTTGCTGTACTCTCTCCTCACTGTTTGAAGGCAGATTTCTTTACAATAACAATCTCAATCAGAGCCTGTATTGCTGCTTCAAGGCGGGTCCTGCTGGTTGTCGAGTGAGTGGAAGTGACATAATTTCTCAGATCTGCTCCCCGCTGAATTCACAAACATAGAAATGTGACAAAACACAGTCAACAGTCAGGTGCAAAGGTTACGCTTATGGCCTAAGGCTGAAGGGTTGTTATATGACAAGTCTTTATGTTATTATTAGGCTAGTTAGGGTCATAATCACAGCAGTTTGAGGAAGAAAAAAAAAAAAAACTTACAGAGTTACAATATTTTAAACTGGAATAAAACATTGTTGCTGGTGCACATCAATGGATAAAATGCTCCCAATTGTTGTGTGAGATGTAATAATAGAACAAAGTTTTTTGTTTTTTTAATGGTCAGTTAATATACATGTTGTGTTTTGTTTCATTCACTTATGTTGTTTTGATCCACTCATGTTCTTTTATCAAACAGAAACCACATTGTGATGTCATGTGGTAATACAGGAAGTCCACCACTGTGCTTTTAAACTCCGTACACCTTCACTACAATCATTTGGATAATTTCAGTCCTGGAATTGCCAATCACTACTGAAGTTGATCTGAAGGTAAAAAGTAGCTGAAAACTACCACTTCATGACATCACAAGATGGAACAGAGGATTTTGAGCTCTGGAGATGTAGACAAGCTTTGTCTATTAGTTTGCCTATATAATTATAGCATGCCTTAAAGCTCACAAGAGACATTATTCATCATATTCATATACTGTATTTCTTTGGTTTATGATCACTCAACAGCACTCTTCTACTATATATTATATAAATATTACTTTCTCTTCATAAATATATAGTACAGTTATTCCGGTTAGAAAATACCCCACCATAGTTGTGCCCCTGCCCTTTGAGCCTGGATCGATTTGTTCTTTCAACACTTGGTTCTGTTTCGACCTCAGTGCCCCCAGCGCTCCCTCTCCCCTCACTCGATCATGCCTGTGGCTCAACTTGACCTTTAGGGAGAAGTCATAATAACGTCTCTCCTCAAACTTCAAACAGCCACTGCCTCTTTGTTTGAATCCATCACTGGTCTGAGTCAAGCAAAGGGAGAGCACAAACATACAAGTGGTGACGCAGATGAACGAGACACGTAGGGCGTCAAGAATGAAAATCAGGTCCATCACCGATTTGGGTACAATAAATGGTCATTAACATACATGCTCTTTCAGGAAGCTCATGACTCATCAACTACACTGTTTTCTATCTAGAATATAAATAAATCAAATTTGCTTCCTTGCATACTTGGTTATTATTCAAGTGCTTCAGGCCTCAGGCACGCTACAAAACCATAATCCCATCTGTTTTCTAATTTGGAGATCTAACCTCAGAAGCCAAAGTGACGAAATGCCCCCAAAGGACTTGCACAAGAGAGAAGCACGAAATGTTCATATTATACTTCCATTACAGTGTGTGGTGCTTGTTATAACAGAGGCCACTGGATAAAGTGATAAAACTAACGGGTAACACCAAAATAAGAGGAACCACTAATACATAGAGAATTCAATACAAATGAATACAATGCAATAAGGAACCTACAAAATAGATACATGAACTGCCAACACCATACCATAATGCAAATTTATTTCAATTTATTGTAATAACTGTGATGTTGAGTGGTCAGTGGGAAGAAAATGCTTTCCAAAGGTTAGTATATTTTATCAATTTACTGATAGATTTGTTGACGTGGCAAAAAAATGGCAGCAGCAAGATGTTCTGAACAATGAACATGATATTTGCTTGTCAGAAATCATTTAGATGTGATCTTACAGATTTTCCCCAACGGTGCTTGCCATGGCGCCATTATAAAACCCTCATCCAAAAGTGGCTCTTCAACCATATGCCCGAACAAACTTGGATCTTGATTATAAAGCAACATAATATTGAATCTTTGATCAGGACTCTGCTGTTAGATCCTGGGGTGACAGTGTGTTTAGAGCTGGCTGTCGGTGAGGGCTCTGGGTCCAGGACTGTACCACAATGAGCTGCTGTGATCATAGGAGAGCCAGGGAAAAACATATGACAATAACAGGGTTTGATACTGCACTGTTTATCATCTACAAGTGTGCACTGATAACTTGACTAAGGGCCATCTTGCTCCACTCCACTTCCAAGAATAACAAGATGCTTAAGCCCTCCTGGTATGTCACCACAGAAACAGTACTTTTTGTAGCTTGATAACATAATGACATTAACATTGCACAATCAGACACGATGCACAACATTCCATGTTTTCCAAAACATGTCAAGAAAGATTATATAATTAATGTTCAGACCTTCACCAATGTTTACTTAACTGTAAATGTTTAATGTCCCCCTGTGACTGAAATCAGTGTCCTCAGTGGAATGGAAAAAAGAAAAGTGATCCACATCTCATTATTAGTGTGGCTGTACAGCAAAATTTGCTAACCTATTCCCAAAAGCTGTCTACTGATGGCGCACTATTGTGACGCCAGGGGTCATATGTTTACTATATTCATCTTGTTAATGTAATAACACCAAATTTGTGATGCCTTTTGCAACTCTAATTGTGATGGTCAAAACCAGTCTGTATCGCTGATCATTTGCCTCTAGTGGCCCAAAATTGCACTTTGAAGCCCAGCGGTTTGATATGACTTGTATAAAACATGATATGGGCAGGTTTACAGTCTTTGCCACAATCCAATCAGTAGAAACAACTTCCAGGTACAGCAGTGCTCATATCAAGCTGCCTGCGACATGCATTTCCAGATGTCAGGCTCTGCTGAATTGGTGACTAAACTGCACCTAACAAGGACCACCTGCCTCCTCCGGCAAAGATCAGAGCGAGCTACAGAGATGACGTTAAATCATGCATACTCTTATCAAGCAATCACATGATGTTTTTAAAGTCACCATTTCCCCCTTTGTTGCTATGGAGACTAAATGCAAAACCCAAACAGTAAAAAATGGTGTTAACTTCAAGTGACCTCCTTTGCACGTAGTCACTCTAAAATATATGTGGTGAGTCAATCAGCAAGACAAACAACTTTGGTGGATACAGTGTCAGTGTCTAGGCTGCGTAACCCGCCCACTGTGAACAAATTAAAAACACAACTTCCAGTAAAAAAGTGTTAAATATGAAGTAGTCATAACCAAAATAGTGACTGGTAACTTCCTGGTAAAACTCATGCAGTGAGAAAATACACCACCACAGGCACTAGACATAAGAAGAACATGTTTATTTTTTCAGACTAAGTATTAAGCACCCATGTCACCC